TACATAAACACACATATATATGTGTATATATATATATATATATATATATATATATATATATATATATATATATATATATATATATATATATATATATATAACCCTCACTCAGTGGGGAGGCTTTTACCCACTGAGGTGTTGTGGTTTAAGACGGGCTGACCCTGAGATTAAGTACACACCGACGCCGACAGTTGTTGTCAAGTACTCGTTTATTTATAGCATCGAGCCATGACGGCGATGCAACACAAAACGAACTAGCCAAGATAGACCAAAAGATCCAAACAATCCAAAAGACCAAAAGATCAAAAGATCAAAAGATCAAAATAGAAACAGAAACTGTAGCCCTAAAACAAATGTAAAATAAAAAAGTTACATTCAGGACAACACCACGTGTAAGCTACAATATACACGGGTACAATAAATTATGTTTTCGGCCAGTACACAGTACTGCCAACAAGTACCAATAAGTAGTACTACAAAATAAATACTTAATTTAATACATCACCCTAACTAGTGTGCACATGCAGCACTAGCAGGAATACATAAGTATTTAAACAACATAATTTATATATCTACACTACCTTCATTAGGTCTACATCTTGGTCCACAGACAGCAGCCTTGCGTGTGCGACACGACTAGGCACATGTCACATGACATGGAACACAGGTAATTTCGCTCACAAAAGCATAAAAAAACGTCAACAGTTCAGTTGCAGTCCCACAGGGGCCGCAACCCAATGAATAAAAACTTCATAGTTTTATCCCCCTTTTGCTGGTAACCATATGTGTTACACAGCCCCCCTCACAAATAAATGTACAATGGAATTCACATTTACATTTACATTTACACTCATACATAATAGTACTTAAAAAAAAAGTTCAGTACACTAGTACACAGACATTAAGTCCTTTCAACTCAAATAGATTATTCCCGGCAAACCGGTAGAGGCTCCAGTGCAGGTACTGGTCACCACTTGATGCGCCAGGTTGAGTCGCTCGACGGGTCGTCGTTGACGGGTTGACCTCCGCAGCTCCGCTGGTGGTTCTGGGTTGATCCAAGAGTCATCCTCGTTCGATGCCTCGTCCCTCGCATTCACCTCATTCAGATGTGGGGCTGGCCTGACCATCTCCTTTTCTTGTCCGTCCCGGGCGACAACCTCTGGCACGAAAGGCGTTGCCTCCGGCCGAAGTCCAGTTGGGACCACTACCTTGATTGTCAGTTCCTCACCTTCATCTGCCTCACTGGTTGGGATGATCTCTCTCCGTCGCTCCCCCTCCGCCACAGTGGGTTCAGCACTCGACATTGTATAGTCGGGTCGCTGCCAACCACGGCGGCGTCCACCACGTCGTCGGCCTCTCCTCCGGCGGCGTCTCCGACCTCTGCTTGTGTCATGTCTGTCTCCCAAGCGACGATCTTGCTCGCGCTGAGACTGACCTTCATAGTGTGGCTGTCTACCCTTCTCACGCGCACCCTCCGGCTGCAACCCTCCTCCACGGTGGAACACCCGACAGCCGTACCTCCTGCCGCTAGGCGAGGTAACCTGAGCTGTGGTTGCTCGACACTGTGATGATCTCGGTGGCGTAAACTTGGGCTGGGAGCTTGGCAGAACACGCATCAGCATCCGCTCCCCGACGCTGATGGACTGGCGTTTCCCTGCTGCTGACCCCGTTGCCTAGCTGCTTTTCTCGGACAGTCGCGGACGAAGTGCTTCGTGGACCCGCACCCGTAACAAGCTCCTCTGGAGGGCTGTTGTTTCCTGGCTAGGATATCTGCCACCTTCTCCGCCAGACGGTCGAGTTGTTCCTCCGTGAGCATCAGCGGCGGCGTCGTCTCCTGGCAACCAGCTACCGTTACTGCGTCGACCTTCTGCGCCAGACGGTCGAGTTGCTCCTCCGTGAGCATCAGCGGCGGCGTCGTCTATTGGTGAACAGCTGCCGTTACTGCGTCGACCTGGATAGTCCTGTTAGCTGCTGCCGTGGCTACGACTGGGGACTCAGCTGTCCCGTCCAGCCTTTTAACAGCTTTCAGAACGTCCTCCACCTTCGGACTGGCTTCCCCTGCGAAACCAAATGTGCCGCGAAGTTCGAGCGCCAGAAGAGGTGAAACCCCCTTGCAGAAAGTGTGATACACCTTCTTCTGGGCATCGGCCTCAGTAAAGATACGCTGCTGGTTTAGCTTCGTCATCTCTGACCACAGTCGGCAGAGAAATTCCGACGCTGACTCCCTTGGATGTGGAGTGAGTCGGTTGAACTGCAGATACCTGTCTTCGGCACATCTGGTGTCGCCAAAAGTGCTTTGTAGGAGGCATAGCACTTCCTCTGGACTCGCAGCTTGCTTCACCCGCTCATAGGCAATCCCTCTCAGGCTGCCTAAAACGGGTGGCAACGGGTTCGGAACGCTGGTGTTCCGCAGCAAACACTGTACTTGAGTTTCCCATTCCGGGAAATTCACCTCCCCTCCTCCAGTGGGTGGAAGGCCGGTGAACACACTCAGCTTGCTGTGTGCTGGAGCACATACCTCCACCTTCACGGGCCGCTGCGCATCTGCCTGCATCGCCGCCATCTTAGCCGTCAACTTGGCCAGCTCCTCCGTCAACTTCTCCAACGTCGGGTCGCTGTGTTCCATCCTACCTCCCAAGGTCAAGCCCCACGTTGGGCGCCAAATGTAACCCTCACTCAGTGGGGAGGCTTTTACCCACTGAGGTGTTGTGGTTTAAGACGGGCTGACCCTGAGATTAAGTACACACCGACGCCGACAGTTGTTGTCAAGTACTCGTTTATTTATAGCATCGAGCCATGACGGCGATGCAACACAAAACGAACTAGCCAAGATAGACCAAAAGATTCAAACAATCCAAAAGACCAAAAGATCAAAAGATCAAAAGATCAAAATAGAAACAGAAACTGTAGCCCTAAAACAAATGTAAAATAAAAAAGTTACATTCAGGACAACACCACGTGTAAGCTACAATATACACGGGTACAATAAATTATGTTTTCGGCCAGTACACAGTACTGCCAACAAGTACCAATAAGTAGTACTACAAAATAAATACTTAATTTAATACATCACCCTAACTAGTGTGCACATGCAGCACTAGCAGGAATACATAAGTATTTAAACAACATAATTTATATATCTACACTACCTTCATTAGGTCTACATCTTGGTCCACAGACAGCAGCCTTGCGTGTGCGACACGACTAGGCACATGTCACATGACATGGAACACAGGTAATTTCGCTCACAAAAGCATAAAAAAACGTCAACAGTTCAGTTGCAGTCCCACAGGGGCCGCAACCCAATGAATAAAAACTTCATAGTTTTATCCCCCTTTTGCTGGTAACCATATGTGTTACACACACATATATATATATATATATATATATATATATATATATATATATATATATATATATATATATATATATATATATATATATATATATATAAATATATATATATACCAATTGTAGTTCATTACATATTCATCTTGCTCCAAACAACAGTACATACATTATGTTAGTTAAAAGTAGCATTTGTTTTAAGCCATGTCATTGGTTGAATTATCGGAAGTGTGATTTTTGGGTGGCGGTAGTGCTTGTTGTTGACAACGGTAGAGGAAATAAGCAAAGAGCTTTTATCCTGTCACGGACTGTTTAGGAAATAGACACTGTGCTTATTTTTTTGCTTTAAGTCCGTAGAACATACCTGAGTCAACCAGAGTTTCTTCCAGGCATCTCTTCGGGGGGGGCTTAGCCCCCCCCCCCCCCCCGAAAATTTTTACCGCCCCCCCCCCCCCCGAACGAAATGAAATTTATATAATTTATATAGAAAATATATACTTTTAACAGTGTCCGCCCCCCCCCCCCCCGAAGAAAATTTACCGCCCCCCCCCCCGAAGATTTCAAGTGCCCCCCCCCCCCCCCCCCCGGAGAAAAAAGTCTGGAAGAAACACTGGAGTCCACCCAGCTCTCACATAAAGGAAAGTAATGGTAGCTGGTCATAATGCTGACCACACAATTACTCCATATGCCGAGGTCACGGAAACAGCTGGTCCACCTCACTTTCTCATGGGGCAGATGAAGTAGAGTTCGTCTGATTCAGAGACCTCGGAATATGAAGTGACAGTGTGGTCAACACAATGCATAGCCGCCTTTGTTACCTAACGTAAATTTACGTCTGAGGATTCAGGGACGTTCCAGTGTTTCGAAATCGAGACTCTTAGGTAGGCCGTCTTTACCGCTATGCCACGCGGTTCCATAACCATAACTTTTAATACCAAACACCACTAACGCTAACGAAATATAATGCTTTTAAAAAACAGTTCTAATCAGTTCCGAACTCGAAATCTACATGATAGCCGCCGAGCTCTCGATAATGCAACGTAGCGATTAAAAAACTTCTTAAATTAACACTATGCGGAGGGAAAAAAAACATCCGTTCAACAATACTAAAAATATATATGCCTATAAATAGAAGCTTGGAGAACCCCCGTTTTGAGCCTATACTCACTTTGTTATCGCCGCCTCACGCTTAGACGGAATAAACACTACCTTGGGTGGTACTTAGTCGGGGTAATTTAGGTCGTAGCCTATTTGTCGGTGGTCTTTTATTTCTTGCATCATTGAGAAGAGTGAATGATTACCGTTTTACTGCAAAATGGCAAAATAATTTGCTTTGTTATTGCTGCGATATCAAAATACATAATTTAATGAAGCTAAATATTTCAATAAATGTATGTGAAGTGAATTGTTTCAAGAAATTTTAATACGGGTTTCCATACTTTTTTCTTCAGCTCAAATTATTTTTATCACTTACCATTTTTCCATTACGGAGTAGAAAAAAACCCAAAGAATCTTAGATTGTCCTAGATTTACTGACACAAGATATGAGAAACACTGCTGGAACAATTTTTTTTACAATTGCTGAAACATATTTTCACACGGGAACGTGGAGACGAGATCCAACATGTGTTTTCAATCAAAATATTTCTCTTATTTTACGTGTTGTGAGGTCTTGTGTATAAATGGCAGTGTCATTTTTACCACTAGACAGTTGTAGCTGTTTACAGAACTCTCTGGTTTGTGGGAACACAGAAACTACACAGCTCTACAATGTCGGCTGTGTTTGTGACGGTTCTTGTGGTTCTTAATGCAATGTTAACCTGTGGTGAGTACATTTTTGTGGTACGTGTAGATAAAACCAGAGGTTGTCTGTCCACATGTGGTTTGTTTTGTCAGAGGGTGGTTTGACTCTCAGTCATTATTAGGTAGTAGTAACAGTGGTGTAGCTAGGTCTGGAATTTTTGACGCGTGTGAGGGAGGGGTGTGGGGGTGGGGGTCAATGTAGACTTCCACATGCGGAACTAAACCATAATAATTTAATTTTTTTTTAAAATACATATAAAATATAGATTATAAATTAAATCAGCAGTTCTTGTGGTAAACGTATAAAAAAAGTAGCTGTATTCTACCGCCTGCGTAAGAAAAAAAATGTACATATTTAAATAACATCGCGTGTATAACGTGTTCGCTTGGTCACGTGTGTAGGGCTAACAGCCAGCGCGACCACAAAAACGGGGAGAGGCGGTTTGTTAAGGAAACACGTGCAGCGTAAAGTTGAGTAAAAGTAATATAATGACGTCTCGTTAATTACTTGTATTTACATGAGCGATAAAGTCGTTGATTGCAAGACAGACACAAATGACAGTAAAAAGTTTGGTCTACGGCATCTTCAATTAAAAAATTGATGACTGCTTGCAATCTCTGACTCTTTATGAAAAAATGGTGAGTAAAAAAAGCCTTTAAATCGAGAGGCAAATTCAAATGTATTCAAATTCAAATTTATTCAAAAAACTGTTACAATTGTAGGCACGAAGGCCTTTTAAAAAAATGCAGGGTACACATCGTCCATGCGCAATCTCTCTTTCAATAAAAACAATTTTAGATAGTCTTAGCACATTCACCAGGTAGGTTAACACGCCGTAGACTTACGGACATCTTGGACAAGGCGTAGTAATAGATGTTACCGAAAATATAAAATCCATATATTGCATTATCAGTTAATCTACACATTGCATGTGAAAGAATTAATAATTTTGCAATATTTATGTCAATGACACAAATCCGTGAAAGAAATATTAATTGATTTTAGCCATATATCACACAACATTTAATAAAATAGATAAATAACCCATCTAACATATCACAAATCATGAATAACAAATCAGTAAAAAAAAAAAGAAAAGTAAGAACAACGACACAAGGCTAAATTACTTAATTACTATCAAATGAACAAATATTGTTCTTTTGGTATCACACACACACACACACACACACACGCGCGCGCTCGCGCACACGCACGCACGCACACACAGACACTCACACACGCACTCATACACGCTCACACACTCGCTCCGGCTCTGAGTAGTAAGTAAAGTTCACTAGTAGTCTAGTGCTCTACCATCCCCACTTAGTCATTGATTATGCTGAATTAAAGCAGGAGTGTATTCTAGAGTAAGTCTTTATCAACTAATCTTATGATTTCTTTCTTCCTTGATTACAGACTACACTTACTATAGTATATTGCTAGAGATACATTTATTTATGTCTCTTTGGAACTTATACATACATTGCTTCCTTATGCTAAGAGAAGGGTGGGGGGAGGGCGTTTTAATTTGTGTTCGCCTATCAAACGACTGGTGGTTAATATGGTAGAAATTGTCTCACGCACACAAATCATTAGTACATCAGCCACAACTTCTCTTTCCGTTGGAGTTTTGATTCTATGCGAGAGGCCGGTGTATCTAACAGCACCAGATCTTAACCTATTGTTGTAGAGATCATTGCCTCTACACACCAGTGGTAACATGGGGGGAGGTGACCACCATGCTGCCAGATCCCGCAATGTGGGGGTAGAGGGGGGTTAGGCCGTTTGGGAGGCATAAAGTCGACCATAATTATCTTTTAAAAACATAAAATACTGTAGCTGCGGTACTATTTTAAAGTCAATATACCAAGCTGTTCCGAAAATATTAAAAACCACTACACAAACTATAGTGTAAAATATAGGCAAAATTTCAAATTTGAGTGAATTCCGTGATTCGATAATCCCCTTTGGCAGCTAATTAGGGTCGTGCAACACGTGAAAACATTGGCATTATTACAGTTTAACCGGACCTTCAAAGTTTCCTATGGCGGGAATGGGGCAGGGGTGGGGACCAAATAGTGAGCTCGAAAATTGTCGTCAAATTTATGTATATAAAAAATTATTTATAATTGTATTTCATTTTCTCATTCTATTGTCAAGGCCGAGTTCTCTTTCTCCTACAACCAATCACACGCTTTCGCCGTCAAAAATCTTTTTAAAAAAACAAATCAAAATCCATTGCTCAAGAACCCACTAGATATGTAGTTTGCTTTCATGATGTTTTGGTATGTCGCGTTGATCATGGGCCCGAAATCCGTTGCACATTCTTCAATGGGAAACTCTGGGTGGCAAACCGCACGGCCTTACTGCCGGGCGCCGCCCTCAGAAATAAAATAAAATTTAATGGCAGAAACATCTCCAAAGTCAGAGTTTCTTTCAGGAAAAATGTCTTTGAAAAAAACACTCTTCCTTTGGCATATTCTTAACGATTTACAAAAGTTTCTTGGCGATTGGATGAAAACCAAAATCTTATAGTGTTAATAGCGTCATATTGATTAAAGATTAATTAGATCAACATTAAAGTAAAGATATAGTGATAATATTAAGAATTTGCCCTGTTCGACCCTCCCCCCCCCCCCCTCAAACACACTGAATCCCACTAATTGTAAAGTAAGAAAGGACTTGGGGCTTTTTTGGTACTTTTAGAAAAGAAACGAAATATTCATTTTATGTTTAAACTTATTTATATAAAAGAAATATTAAAATTCTAACGTAAAAAAAATATTTTTTTTAAAAGGAAAAGGGCCCCTAAATGCCTCGGGCCCCTATGCCTTGCTTACGCTATCTTTACGGTAGCTACGCCACTGGTTTTATGCTAACTTTTCAAAAGTAGAAGGACTTCAGATCTTATGCAATGCAATAGTATTTATAAAACATAATTATAAAATTTGAAAAACACAAAGCGACACGGCTGTGACTTCAGCTTATGAAAGGTTAGTGCGTTTAGTTTTATTTCACTAAGCTTCACATCCGAAATCTTGAGTACTGTACACATAAACGTGACGTCCTTTATGGATGACACTCGAAACCAACAGATTGTTGTTTTTTTTTAATATTTAAACTGAAGTACAATGATTTTCAACAACATTTAACAAGAAATGTTTTTATTGTGTTTGAATAATGAAGTAACTTTGTAATCGGGTGTTTGCGAGCTCGACTGCTAACAGGAAAATGACGCGGACGGTTCCCGGACTGGTGACTTTAAGGCATCACATAATCTCACTGATGAGTACAATAAAATTAATTAATTGAACGCATAAGATATTAAGTATTTAATTTTGTCTACTGTTTTCTAGGCCTTAAAGTTGATATGACCAGAGAACACTTTTTCCATGGGAAAAGTTTATTTTGTGCACAACTCCAGTGTACAGAAAACATAACAGAAGACACTCAGATGTCAGCTCTTGTCAACATGTCAGTCTATAGGATCAGTGAACCAGAAGGGAAGATTTTGTTGGCGTCTATTTCAGGATCTGATTCAAAGGTTCGCGATTATAAAATATCTGGGGTATTATCTGAGGGCAAACTATCCAAACATCACGGAGAACTGGTCTTGTCTTTCTCCAATACTTCAGCCTGTAATTTACACCAGTATAAATGTCAAGTATATTTTACCAATAAGACAGGAGACACTGGAATGCTAGAGAACAGAACAACGTCTTATGAAAGAGAGAAAATAAAGAAATCTGTTTTGTTGATGAATTTGAAAGCTGAAACTTTGAACTACGTGAAAACTGTGGACACAATGTATGACTTTCTGAAATCGTTTGAAGATCCAGAAAAACTAAAAGATGCAGACGTGTCAATGTCCTTACAGATGTCACATTCTGATAGAGATTGGTACAGTGACGACACGGCTCAGATTCCATCATCTACTGAGTTAAACAACAGTAACAAACACATCAGCTCTAATAATGCTACAGACATGCTTGATGCTAAGATAAATAACATCACACAACAAATGCAAACAGTGAATAACAGACTTAGAGCAATAGACGTGGTTGATGCTAAGATAAATAACATCACACAACAAATGCAAACAGTGAATAACAGACTTAGAGCAATAGACGTGGTTGATGTAAAAATAAATAACATCACACAACAAATGCAAACAGTGGATAACAAACTTAGAGCAATAGACGTGGTTGATGTAAAAATAAATAACATCACACAACAAATGCAAACAGTGAATAACAGACTTAGAGCAATAGACGTGGTTGATGTAAAAATAAATAAAATCACACAACAAATGCAAACAGTGAATGACAAACTTAGAGCAATAGACGTGGTTGATGTTAAGATAAATAACATCACACAACAAATGCAAACAGTGAATGACAAACTTAGAGCAATAGACGTAAAACTCAATGAGGCCATCACAAGGAACAACCAAACAAACCGAATGATAGAAGCTTTAAACACAACTGTACAAGAAAGTAAAAAGACCTACAACATGAATCCTTTGTTGTCACGGACGACACTTCAGGTAATAGTTTTATTTCGACATAAACTAGCACTTTTAAGTGTTTAATGCGAGTTAAATCAACGAATATACACTTTACGAATTGTTTAGAATCATTAAATATGTGCGGGTATAAAGACTTCAAATAATATCAGTCAGTCTTTGATTATAATCTCATTCGTTTCTAGTCATGTGTTAAAACAAACATCTTTCTATTTATAAACAGTGTAAAAAGAACGACAAAACTGATGTACCAGAACGAACGACCGTCAGACTTGGTCAAGATAAATTGGCTTTGTGCGACACAAAAACTGACGGTGGAGGTTGGATCATTTTTCAGGTTGGAAACATTTTTTTTTACCTTAAAGTCTTTATGAAAATGTTTTGATCTTGTATAGATTAGATCTGTCCTATTTTGGGTTAAAAGAGTTTATCAATATCTTGCAAACTATCTTATTTTAGAGACGTGTTTTGGGTGACGTGAATTTTACGAGAGATTGGAACGCCTATAAACATGGATTTGGTTCATTGGTTGGAGATTTCTGGCTTGGGAATGACTGGATCTCTAACCTTACTATGATGGTGAGTTTAGAAAAATATAATCTGTACGCACAGGCCAAAGCCATATTTTAAAAGTTAAATATATTACATGAATTATATATATTACAGGGGTACAATGAACTGAGAATCGACATGACTCGAAAAGGTATAAAGTACTACGCCCATTATGATCATTTCAAGGTAGACAACGAAGCAGCGTCGTATAAAATATACATGTCGTCATTCAGTGGAAACGTTAAAGACAAACTAAGCTATCATCATGCTATGAAGTTTTCTACCTTCGACAGGGACAATGATTGGTTGAGCGAAAATTGTGCTGGAACTTTTAAAGGTGGTTGGTGGTTTAGAGACTGTAGAGAAGCAGCTTTAAATGGCGTCTGGGGTACAGCAGAAACTACTACAGGAATATTCTGGTATGAGCTATCAAGTGATGGTTATATTGTAGACTCAGTTGAGATGAAAGTACGTCAAGTGTAAACAAAGTATCTGAATATGTTTTAAATATAGCTATAGCTTTATGTTTGTGTAGAAGACCTATTTTTATCAGACAAATCTATTCACCCAAACGTTCTTCTTTAATTGTGAAGGGTCTCTGTGTTCTATAACTAAAGATTTCAATGTAAGCAATGAGTTTTTGTGTGTTCATTTTTATAACTACACAAAACAGCATCAAAACACATTATTAGAAGTTTGATTTTAAGAGGTCATCCTTAAACGTAACACTTCTGTATGGAGGGGTTTGGGCGGGGCAACATGCGTTAGACTAGACGACGGGAAAGGTTTGAGAAGCTTTGAAGACACACATGCAAGATTTTACAAACACAGGTATATACATGACATTGAAGACACTACAGCACATAAAGCAGAGTAACAAAATACAGAAAGAAGATAACAGATTTTAAATGAGTAAAACTTGACATTTAAACACAACCTCGGTAAGACTAGACTAGTATACACCAACGGTATGGTGAAAACAGAAAAACACCGACACTATGAAGAAAACAGAATTACACCAACGGTATTAAGAAAACAGAAATACGCCTACCGTTATACAATATTTTGTGGTTGATTCTTCTAAAAACATTAAGTGAACATCGATCACCTTATTAAATATATGCGTGCTTTGATCAGTAAGGGTTGTGCTCAAGAGTATTGTAAAGGTAGCTGATGGTATAACAATTGTGAAAGTGTGAATGTAAAATATGGTGTCTGGGGTAGAAGAGACGGTGCGCAAGGAATAACCTGGGACGACATATCAAGATATGAACACACTTTAGATACCGTTGAAAAGAAAATACGCTTAAAGTGTAAATACCAGCAAATCTGGAAATGTTATAGCTTATTCTGAAGCTTGAATGTACATTATTGTAATATCAAATTTTTTTCAGTCTCTATATTACTACCTGATGTTAATGTTGAATCTAAACGATTCTTTATAACCAAAAACTAAACAGCTTCAATTGTAAACACTTTCTACATTTTGACTGGAACAAGTATTTATAGCCCGGTATTTAGTGGTGCTAATATTTTAAATGTAGTAAGATTTCAATAGGATGTTCTTTATTAGAAAGACAACATCTATTAAATACTGGCAATAGATTTCCACGTCCGACAAGTTGAAAGCATCAGATCTGGACTACAACACAAAACAACACATTTGAGTTCTCCATACACCAGAAAGATAAAGTCAGCGGCACCTTCAGATTGGTCCCTTCTACACTTATTAATTACACAATACTCAAATCACTTAGAACAATGAAAAAACAGAACCTACAATCACTACAATCCCATACACTAACAATCGAAAATTCACCATCTACAATAACAACCCACAATACATCCCACACTACATTAAAATCACTTACGAAGACAGAATAAAGTTTTTAATCGCAATACCAGGCAGACGGCAAGCATGTCAAAAATGCGGGTCTAACATACACTGGACAAACCATTGTCAGGCAACAAACCAATAGCCATCGCAACATAAAGACCCAGCAATAACACAGGCAACAGAGATAGCAATACAGAAGCCACCAGCAAGGACCCCAAACCAATAGACAAACAGTCTCAACATCGATTACAGGGGAAGTACCAGCTGGGAAAACAGCAATAGCAAACACCAGTAAACCACAGTCACAACTAACAACTAACAACTGACAACACTTCAACAAAAAGGAAAAACTGAACACAGCCTTACATCGGAACAAGAGAAAATAACAAAAACACCAAAAATTACTCATTCTGTACCCGATACACCCCCCCCCCCCCCCCAAAAACAGCAGCTCCATAAAAAGGGAAAGTAGATAACCTAAGCATTACCAAATAAAGAGACAAAGATAGAAGCAGATAATATCTTGATACCAAAATTTCTACAGCAATCGAGTAGACACAAAAGACAAGTGAACATAACACCACCTCTAACAAAGACTGACACAAGTAAATCACAGAAGTGAAGAATGGAAAAAAGCCATTTTACCCCAAAACCGCAAACTAAAGTTAACGAAAAGACACCAGGGAAATTACATCAGGCAAGTAGCTCTACCAAAACAACAAAAAAATTAGTCCAAAACCCCATCAAAGAGAATGAGTCAAATGCAGATAATGCGAGAACCAATACACATTAATCGCGGTAATTGAATTTTATAAAAGTACCGTTCACAAACACCTTAAACAATGTAGCCACTGCTATGACGATGTATATACTACAGAATAATTGAAGGACCTCACAAAGACCGCATAACGTATGTCTACACGTGTGCTCTAAAAAAGGACAGCTTACATTTCACCATTACCAAGGCAACTTCCTCTCATTTAGGCGTTTTGTATTAGTTTCCCACCAGTAAAACATATCAACCCATGTTAACCCTATTTTGTCAAAACTCCCTCCGCAAATTTAACCAATTTTTAAATGGTGTTCTTTTAGTAAATGATAAGGGGTCAGCGTGGGCGAGTCGTTAAAGCTCATGCTATTCCGAAACGTCTCGAGTTCAAACCCTCGGGCAGATAAGACTCGCTAGCTGGCGACAGCCACTCTTCTAGAAGAGACAACTCAAAAATCAAACAACTGTTGCCTTGTAGTTTGTTCTTGGTTGGACAAAGGCTATGGAAGCAAATCTAAAAAGAGAGGCAGGCTGAAATCGGAGTCAATGGCGCACAAACAGTTGACACGTATATTTAATTATGTTGAGAGAATTGAGGGGATCCCTTCTAACACTAAAATTAAGAACGAAGAAGAAGTAAATGATATAAACAATAGGAATATGATGTGCCCATCAAAAAATGATAATCTATAAATGGTTTATTATTTTTTGTATGTATTTTTTAATATAAACCTGCTCTTACCGCTCGAACCCCTTTCTCGATTGGGGCGGCGGTAAGAGAGGAACAATATTAAACGTAAAAATACAAAGAAAAAGAGTCATCACCTTATATACGAAATTAATTTAAAATTTAAAATGTTCTTAAATATCAACTACGCTTTTACGAACTTCTTTATGCTTTGATTCTTCAGCATTTATGATAATAATATATTAAATTTTAATTGTAGACAAACTTAGTTTTAATAACAAATTGTATCGAGTTATTATGTTAAATAATAAATAAATATTTGATGTCCACGGCTGCTAAGCCACAGATGTTCACTTTTTGAAATTTTTGAGTTAGCGTCCGTTTCGTTTAAAACGAGTGCATAACTAACTTGTACAAAAATATGAAAGCAAAAACTCAGCTCAATACCGCAATATTTAGGTTTTTAAAAACATGCCACAATGGAAAAACAATGGATGTCCAATGTTTACCCGCGAAAAACCAGAGATGTCCAAGTTATTCCTGCACCAGCCATTGAGAATCAAGGCAAAAACAACACGTGTCCTCAGCTAGAAAAACGAACTGGGATAAAGTGATTTGATATAATTTCCAGTTTGAGTACATTCCTATTAAAAGCTTTCAGCAGAATGGCTAGCATTCTGCAAACCAGAGACACAAAACAACATCATCAGCATGACAAGCGATATGCTTCTGAAATTCACAGAAATACAAATTGTAAAAGATAAAATGCACAAAGAGAGCTGGAAACAACAGTTGAGTCTTATGCCCGGTACTCTAAGATCAAACTTGAAATTATTTAATTACATAATCTAAAAATGTATTTTCTGAAGCCACCATACAGCAGAGGAAGAAGACTATTTAAACAAAAGATCAGTTTTATCTTTTAATATAGCGCCTCTCTCAATAGACCAGTCTTATCATACAAGAGAACAGCCCCTCTCAAAGGACCAGTCTTACCATACAAATGACCAGTCTCTTCCAACATACCATTCTTACTATACAAGAGGCGAGTCACTCTAAACAGACCAGTCTGCCATACAAAAGACCAGCCTCTCTGAACAGAACAGGTCCCTCTTAATAGACTAGTCTTACCTAACAACAGACCAACCTCTCTTAACAGACCAGTGAGGTCTTTCAAGAATTCAATACGACATACCCTGTCATCACCTACTAAGCATACAAAAATACATTGTGATCATAGAAACACGTAATCAAGATATTTAAACGAAAATACAAACACAAACTCAAACGCAACACGCAAACAAACAAAAAAACAAACGCAAACTCAATACATATATAATTAAATTCACAGATGTAAGAGAAATTAAAATTGTATAACTGTTTATTTAATTACAAATAATATTATTAAATATTTATTAAATGTTTACGTCACTCTTTTAAAGTAAATTTGGGTATAGTAAGATAAACAAAATATCATTACTACTTATTTGTGATGCATAATTCTTTAGTGATATTTGTTTTTTAAAATGAAGTGTTATTTTTTCAAAACCTTTATTAGGGCTGAGTCTCCTTAAAATAATCCATGTTTAATATCTTGTCCGCTGAAGGTCTTTTATCTGGTTTAAATTTGAAAACAGTTTTCAACAACATTTTTAGCTCTTCTGATGAATTTTCCGGTAAATCATATTTCGGTTTAACTTTGTTCACAGCTACAACTATTATAACCTGGGCGTTGTTTAATTCAGCAAACGGTGGTTCTTTTGTTGCCATTTCAACCACTGTGCACCCAGTACTCCTGGTAAAAAATGTACATTTAAATTATTCATTGGACAACTGACAACTTAACAATTAAAAAGAAATGATTTAATGCATAGGAATTTAAATTACCATATGTCAGCTTTTTCATCGTACGTTTCATTATTTGGATCCATCACTTCAGGCGCCATCCACTTGTTTGTTCCAACACCATCAGTTTTTGGAGCACTGGACAATGTGATTAGTCGAGAAAGTCCAAAGTCTGCGAGTTTGATATTTTCTTCATCATCAAGAAAAATGTTCGAACCTAGAAAAACAAAATTAATATAACAATAACAATTCAGTTATTGTATTTAAACCTGGTAGTAATAATTTGCACAAAAATACGACTCATACCACGTCATTTATTATTTGTATATGTTATGCGATACATTTTTGTGGAAAAAAACAATGCTGTAAAGACATGTTGATGCCGCCACTGTGTCTATTATCGGGTGCTTAACCAGCCAATATAATAGAATATATATATATATATATATATATATATATATATATATATATATATACTGATCTGCTATTTCTGGCACAGCTTTAATAATTAACCGTAATCTAAATGACAACTTAAACAAACTGTTTAAGTTTAAAACTGTTTATTGAATTAAGTAAAGAATATAACACGCGTTTCTCTTAAAGGTTCACACATCTTTTCCCTGGTGTCTCTTCCCCACCGCAATGATAAGTGACTTAATTGTTGATTTTTATACATATAATCAGTTAAAAATGTAACACGACAAAATGTATTTTTCAGTTTGGTAATCCCCGTTGAGTCAACTAAAAATAAAATTATCTAACAAACGTAAGGGAACTAATTTAGCCTGGCATCATGTGTAAAAGTATAGTTTCATGTTGTTAATTTCAATTCACATTTTATTGATATAATTTTAACACTTTGCATTCTTACCTTTGATATCTCTGTGTATAATCTTAGGTTTACAGTTGTGTAAATATGATAGGCCCTCTAGTATTTGTCTTGTAAAACGTTTTATTTTAACTTCTGTTAGCGGATGATTACAGTGAACAAAATTTCTTAAAGTACCCTAAAAAAATGAAATGTATACTTTGTGTAAGTAGTTGATTAATGTATATACTGTATTGGCATTTTTATAAACGTGCAATATTTCAAACATGCACTTTTATTGAAATAAAAGAAAACATTTATGTGTACATAAAGGTAGCTAATATATTATACTATCTTTCATGAAGTTTACATTTATGTCATGACATCGATATCAATTACTTTAATCTAAACACGGTATTCTTTGTAATACGAAGATATTGCAAATGTATTTCTTTTATAAATCTTTTTATTTTATTATTAAATATTCTTGAACAAATTAAACATATTAGTGACCAAGTAATTGTCGAAACATATCTGAATAAATCCTCACAGGTTTATAATACTTACTTTTTTTAGGCATTCAAATATTAGGTTAAGGTAATTGTCTTCAAAAATAAATCCATAAAATGACACGATTCTTTTATGCTCTATTTTTAATAAAATTTGCAACTCTAAAAGGTTCTGAAGAAGATAAATATTTTCAAAAACATTATTCATATTCTGATAAGCTGTGTTCTAAACAAACACATAGGTATGTTCGTCATTTCAAGTTAACATTAGACTATCAATTTTTATGCTTATTATTTTACAGTTATTGGTAAACTATACAATTTCTAATACTTGATACATACTAAATATGTATAATTCTTTATTGAAAAAATAATGCATGAAAGATTACTAAGTTCTTTCAATGAGTGCCTATTATCTAAAAAGTTTAAAAGATATTGCAACTATGGCAGACACACAAATTCCACTATTATTCAAATTAAAACAACTAAGACTTTTAAAAGTTTTAAAAATTATATTACAGCAAATAGTTAAAATTAATATTTTTTCCCATAAGCCTAAACAAGTAATAATATGAGAAACAGAAACTGAACTAAAATTATTGGAATAAGTTAAACAAGGCATGACGTTTCAACTAACAATAAATCAAGAACAACTACCTCGGCTGCCCTAAATGGTAAAAAAAATTACTTTAAAAATTTTAAACTGAAGTATTGAATCAATATTACGTAAGTAAACGCATTCAAGGCTTGAAACTAAATTACACACTGATTTAACAATTGTGTGACACCGAGAAAGAAAATGTTACGGGATAGTAACCTTTCCAATGGGGGTGGGCTTTTTTTTTCACAGACAGAAATGAAAAATATATATAGAAATGGGTGGGAGGTGGCGCAAAATTGAAAGTCAGACCCGGGCGCCGGAATAGATCGCTACGTCTCTGATTAGATGCACCGGTACTTTCGACAATGCTAATTTAACAGCATATTGAGGGGTCGGCGTGGTCGAGTCGGTAAAGCTCATGGTTGCTAAACCGAAAAGTCTCGAGTTCGAACCCTCGGGCAGATGAGGCTCGTTAGTTGGGGACAGCCACTCTTCTAGGAGAGACAACTCCAAAATTAAACAACTGCTGCCTTGTAGTTTGTTCTTGGTTGGACAAAGGCTATGGAAGCAAATCCAAAAAGAAAAGCAGGCTGAAATCGGAGTCAATGGCCTCAATGGCGCATAACCAGTTGACACGTAACGCTTAATCGAGTCGGCAAGAAAGCTCATGGTTGATAAATTCGAACAAAAGTCTCGATAAAACCCACTGGCAGATAAATCTCGATCCGCCTCAACACTAATAATTAAGAACGAAGAAGAAGAAGAAGAAGAACAGCTTATTTTGAGAGTAAAATTATATAATAAAATTTCATGATACTTTATTTTTATCTTTTTTGGCCTCTTCGACGTTCTGTTTCTTAACGACAAATTTTTCATCATTTGGGTTGTTTTCATCTATCAGCACACATACTTCACCAAAGGAACCTCGTCCCATTTGCCTGCCTAGTTTCCAAATTTTTGGTACTGGGTAGTGATAAAAGGAATCTACAGAGAAGTGGTAAAATATTTAAAATTTCTTATTGTCAAGACTTTTTATGTTTAAATGTAAAATTCTGAATTGCTTGACTAACTATATTGAAATATACCTTAATTAGAAAAATGTGTTTACTATATTTCATATGATAAATCAGACACTTAAACACCTTTTCAAGTGCCCATAAGAGGTGGGAGGACTCAGGGACGACTTAGGGACTCAAACTTGGGATCCGCACTCTAGAGTTTTGGGTAAGAAGTCGAAAGCTTAAACATTTGATCATGCCGTCCCATGATTAAGCAAAAAATGGAGACAGACCTTAAGACGACCTTTCTTCAACAATATAATATTCTAATATTTTAATTGATGACGTAATTGTAATGTAAATGTTGTACAATTAAAGTAAAATTTAGAAAAGTAAAGACTAAACTCGAGCTACACATTACAGATTTGTGAAATAAAAATGGCAAGCTTTCTTGCAGGGAAAAATCCACATGCTATTTTTTAGCAATAACATATGATATATATATATATATATATATATATATATATATATATATATATATATATATATATATATATATATATATATATATACATATATATATATATATATACATATATATATATATATATGTATATATATATATATATATACATATACATATATATATATATATATATACATATATATATATATATATATACATATATATATATATATATATATATATATATATATATATATATATATATATATATATATATACTTCTTCTATAAATTGTTAGTTAGTAAAAAAAAATTAAAAAATAATTAATTGCAATTTTATTTTTAAATGTGAGCGTCTTACCACTAAACTGGTGTAAAATCTAGTAAGATAATGCTAAACATAATGTTTATATGATTTTGAAATTTTGCTTATAAATTTTCAAATTGCGGCTCTATTAAACATTATAGGACATGGGATAGTCAAGAATCTTCGAAGTTTTGTATTCAAAAAATGTAAATTTGATTTTAACCAAACTTCATAACTAAAAATAATGCAATACTAACTTAGAAAAGAATTTTTAAAAAAACGCATAATTTTGTGTTACTCAATGGCCTTCCGAAAATTTCTCAAAGTTATTATTAAATATTTTTAAATAATATAGGATATTATAAAAATAAATATGGTTTTAAAAATCTGACTGTTTGTTTTTTGTTGGACTTTACTGAAGATTTGATGTAATTGATGTTTTAGGTAATTTAGTTAGCGAAATATAATTTTTTAAAAGCCAAAAACAATTTACTTGTTTACATTATCAAAGAAATGAAAAACAAAACTGGCTAAACTAAGTCTTGAACTTTTTAAAAAAAAATGTATATCGAGTACAAATTACTATGAAATTTTTATGAAGTGATGTTTCAAGAATATCGATAAGGGAGTCCCTGTACAGCCAATCAAGGTTTGTCAGAAAGTGAAACGTCAGATTTTAACTTAGGCATAAAGATATTTAGCCTTAAACTAAAAATATTTTTTTTCTGGTTCTTTGGATTTGCATCTGTAACATTGATACTAAACGTATCATATTTCTGAATTATTTAAGGCTTAATTAAGTTATTTATTGTTTTTTTTAATTTTATAGTAACTTTGATTGCAAGATCTAATACAAACATGATTTTTACCCGTATCAACAATAATAATGGAAACATTCTGGTCAACTCGGTCATGTACATTGGTACAACAATATAATTGATACTTGAAAATCTTTCAAGCAACAGGAATATACTTACCTAATTATACATACACTCGCAACTACACGCACACACGCACGCAGCACATGCACGTACGTACGTACGCACGCACACAGACACACACACACATATATATATATATATATATATATATATATATATATATATATATATATATATATATATATATATATATATATATATATATATATATATATATATATATGTCCTGTGAATTTGTGAGTTTCTGAAATTTTTAGAATAATATCATTTGCCTTACTAAAATAATTATTTATATTGAAATTTCAAAATAAAGTAGCATTAAGTCTAATATTTGTATTGGCGTCGAATGCACAACAGGCAGAACACACTTTTTTAAAAATGAAATACATACCTATATTAGGATGCAGCTGAACTAAATTTTTATTTATGTGCCAGAAAATCGAAGATATTTTTTTACTCATTAACACAGTTCCAGATCTTTGTAAATTAATTAGGTTTTTTATCAGTTCATCGCTTTTATTCATTCCATCTTTTGCTTTTTCATTGCAGGCTAACTTGAGTAGAACAGCAATAATAAAATCTTGTTTGTATATATCGTCATCCAATAGATACGAGTTACACTGTTTATAAAAAATGTTATTTGGTATCTGAAACGATAATTTTAAAAGTACAGGAATAATATCTAATGTCTTGAACATTTTAGTCAACTAATTTACATGAATTAACGGCTTCGTTTACACATATTATTTTTAGATTTTGAAAATTTCATTATCTTTGTATTCAATGCTATTTTACATTAACTTTGGTTGGAGTACTAGAAAAATATGTAATAAAGCACCTGCACCATTGTTTCTTTTTATTCCTATTTTGCTACATTATTGCTGATGAGAACTATTGGTGAATAAGTGGATTGTAAAGTTTTTTTTTGCAACGGAATATAAATCGTGTTATTTATCTTGTTTTCTCACTCGACCTGCTTTAATTGTATATAATATGTATACAAGACTCGTAGACATTTTTCAATTAAATATATACACATCAAATCAATTTACCTAATATGAATTATACTAAATCTAAGCAAAGCGATTCTAGTAATAGTATTTTGGAAGACCTATACATGCTGCGGTATAAATTTTGAATTGATAATTTTCACAAAAACCTAAAGGACACATTCACAAGATCTACTTTTGATTTAATGAAAAATTTAATAGGCTCTGAAACAGTATTTGTTTTCTTTTTATTCACATTTTTATATATTAAATATGTATATAATTAAATAAATATAAAAAATATTTACCCAAGTTTAGCAACAATAATATTAATAGAAATTTAGGGTAATTAGAACATTTTTAAAAATCACAACCCAATCTAACTTATCGATACTTACAAAATTGAAGTCATGTTTAATCAGAGAAAATATTATTTGTTGAAACTGTCGCAATGTAAAATCATTTCCACTATTCTCCTGTAAACTTATTTGACATCCACATTTGATTAAAATTTCAGCAGCATTATAGTGACCATTGTAAATCGCTAACATCAAAGCATTGAATCCATCAAATTTTACTGCATTAAGATCACATCCACTTTTAATTAGCTGCATTAGAATAGTGTCGTGTCCATGTATAGAGGCAAGCATTAATGAATTGCATCCTTCATTATCGACAGAATTCACAAAACATCCATTTTTAATTAGATGTTCTACACATATGGGGTGTCCCTTTTCGCTCGCTAGCATTTAAGCGTTAAACCCATCACATTTTACTGCATTAATATCACATCCACCTTTTATTAGCTGCATAAGAATAGTGTCATGTCCATATATTGAAGCAAGCATCAATGAATTGCATCCTTCACTATCAACAGCATTAACCTCACATCCATTATTAACAAGAAGCTCGACAGATTTGAGATGTCCCTTTTCGCTCGCTAGCATTAAGGCGTTAAACCCATCACATTTTACTGCATTAACATCACATCCACTTTTAATTAGCAATTCTAGAGTTTTCTCGTGCCCGTATACTGAAGCAAGCATTAAAGCATTGCAACCCTCGCTGTTGGTAGCGTTAACATGACAGCCATATTTAATCAGAAGCTCTACACACTTATCATGTCCTTTTTCGCAGGCCATCATTAATGCGTTAAACCCATCACGTTTGAAGGCATTAAAATCACATCCACTTTTAATAAGAAGCTCTAACGGTTTTTCATGTCCGTTAAAGGAGGCGAGCATTAAAGGATTGCATCCTTCACTGTCGATAGCATTAACATCACACCCGTTCTCAATCAGCAGCTTTATAGTGTCCTCATCACCCTCTTTTGATGCCGTCATTAGCTGCTGTGTAGCGTTAAGCAAAGCTGACATGTTTGACATTAAAAGCTATTTTACTTGTGCAGATGTATATCGGCTTTCTGAAAAAAAAAACCTCTGAATTTTATTAAGCTTTTGAAAATGTTACTAATGTCTAGCCAGAAAAGTGGCCTCAACAATTTAATAAAGAACTATCCTTAGATATCAATATTTTTAATTAAAGCCAAAATATACACTAACATAACGCATGACAAATCTAACACTAACCACAGTTGTTACCTTAACCACATATTGAAGATCTATTTTGAAATAAGAGCCGGACGTTTTCCCGAAAGACACTTGCCCGAATGCGACAATTGCCCGAATGGACACTCCCGAAGGCCATTTGCCCAAAAAATGTTAATATTAGATAATAAATAATATTACCAAATAGAAATTCTTAATCAATTCAAGTTTTCAATCTTGATTTTTTAATAAATGTAAGGCGATGTTGGCGGCGGTGTCTTTATATTCTTTTGATGTATGTTTTGTACACCTTGCCTAGCCGACGTGTTGGGTGATTACATAGTTTTTCTGACTCGGTGTTGGCGGTGCGGCGTCTCGCAACATTGAACAGATTCGCGTGTGTTTGATTTTTCTTGTTATGCTTAACTTGTGTGGTGATTATTTCACAACAGAACTAGGCGCGGTCTAGGCGGAGAATTTTAAAACTAAAGGTAGTCAGTTATGATTTTTCTCCATTTAATGCACCTTGTTAAGACAATTGTGTTGGAGCGATTACTTAATAAGGAAAGCAAAATTAATTTTAAACTCTTGAGATAAATGAAAATGGTATTTTTGTCTAGTTTCATAGATGGAAGAGAAAATATGTTTGTACACTTTTTATACAGTAAACACAAATTACTGTTTGAGTGGTAATATATAATATTTTTTCCCTTTCTTTTTCTTAGATATGTATTGTTTATCAACATTTCAAAATTAAATTGATTACGAATGATTATTTGGTAATATAAAATGTTAACAGCTTTTGGTCAAGTGTCCATTCGGTATTTGTCGCATTCGAGCAAGGGTCTATTCGGGCATTTGTCGCATTCGAGCAAGTGTTTATTCGGGCATTTGCCCCATTCGAGCAAGTGATTATTCGAGCATTTGTCGCATTCGAGCAAGTGTCTATTTGGGCATTTGTCGCATTCGAGCAAGTATCCATTCGGGCGTTTGTCGCATTCGGCCAAGTGTCCATTCGGGCGTTTGTCGCATTCGAGCAAGTGTCCACTCGGGTGTTTGTCGCATTCGGTCAAGAGTCAATTCGGGAATTCGTCGTAGACCCTTTTTAAATAAACAAGCGACACACTTTGATCCTTAAGAAATGGTAACCCAAACAAATCAACAACAGCGTGCATTGTGTGCTATTAAGACCATTAATGACACTATCTAGAAAACAAGTTTACATTATAAGGGTTACAGATCACTTACTTTCTGCGGCTTGACGAAATTATAACTTTTATTTCAGTTTTTGGGTAACACAAATTATTAATACACATTGTGCCCCTCTGCACTCGTTCTCACTTTGAACGTTGACTATGTCAAACTTCAAACCTCTCAATTTACACAATATGTTTAAGGAGAGGTACGGCGTTTTTTTTTCTTTCCGTATTAATAAATAGGGCCTAGATATATACGTGCTATTTAAAATAATACAGTATTTGATAAGAAAGTATTTTTAAGTTAGGGGTCATCCATAAATGACGTCACGCTTTTTTTTGACGATTTTTACCTCCCCCCTCCCCTCCGTCACACGTCGTCACAAATAGCCAGACCCCCCCCCTAAAATGACGTCACACCTCAACCTACAACCCCCCTCAAAATTGCAGTTGAATTTTTTTTTAAACCGATATTTTTCCAAAATCTTGTCTAAACTATTACAATTTATTAAAACAATTATCTAAAACGCGAAAGAAAGTCTAAAATTCGTTTTCTAACATTGCTTTTTTATAATGCAAAAATGTGACGTCGCAACATCTGACCCCCCCCCCTCCCCCTCATCACACATCGTCACAAAATTACGGACCCCCCCTCCCCCCTACGAGTGTGACGTCATTTATGGATGACCCCTTATCACCAATTAAAGTTTAACTGGAACGACGTCCCGCAACCACCAGCACGCTCTCTTCTCACATCTATAACTCCCGCTCACTACGTATACAAAGCTCTATATATTTATGCGTGTAAGTAAGCTTGCGTGTATATATTTATATATACGCATGTTTCTGTATGTATCAGTGTAAGTGTATCAGCATGCGTATATTATGTATTAGAATAAGTGTTTGTAAGTATGTGTTTATGTGTCCATGTTTAATGTGTGTTAAATGCATATAAATATGGCTTAACACGGTATTTGGATTGATACTTGATGTGTAGCATTTGTATTGTTTAATTATCATGAACATCAGCTAAAAATATTGTTGTTTCTGAGTCGGTGAGCTGATCAACTACTAAAGTGCTGGTTAGTAATTCAACTCACACACGTCCACAAATAACACACACACACACAATATACACACACACATACACACACACTCACACACACATATACACACCCACACACACACATATATATATAATATATATATATATATATATATATATATATATATATATATATATATATATATATATATATATATATATATATATATATACATATATGTATATATATATATAATATACTTATATACAAATAAAGATACATTTGTAAAGATACATGTATATGTATCTAAATTTATATATATATATATATATATATATATATATATATATATATATATATATATATATATATATATATATATATATAAATGTATATATATATATACATAATATATATAATTTATATATATATATATATATATATATATATATATATATATATATATATATATATATAATTTATACATTTTATTTTGTAATTTTTGAAATGTGTTGATTAAATTGTATAACTGATAGAAGTGATTTCTGTGTTTTTAATGTCAACGCATGTCTTATGCATAATGTATAGAGAGAAATGTGATCACATCTACGTTAAATGACGGCTACAGTAATACAACACACAACATCCGGCTTATAATACAGATTAATATACAATAAATAGCATAGTTGTAGATTACAAAGGTTTAAATTATAATGTAGTATGCTTCAGTATAACATTCAACTAAGTTAAAGGCTAATCAATCAATAAATAAAATCAATTTTTCTGTCTAACGGGTCAGCACAAAACAATACCGTCACAGGCTAACAGTTTTCCCAATAACATTTCCTGTAACTACACATACGATGTGTGTAGAGCCAACGTGGTATGTGGCCTGGCCTACTTAAAAGAAATTGTTTTTATAACGTGTTGTTTTGTGTTTGTATTTTATCTCAATGTTACAGCTGTAGCGGTTGTTTGAGGCGCCGTTAGGGGCTTACATGTAGCTATACTAAGTTGTTGTATATTTAAAGTTATTAAGAAGGACTTATTTAAACAACTTATTTGAATTCGTGAACACATTATCGATCAATCATGGTCACATACCACAGATAAATAATAGTGGTAAAACATTTTCACTTGCTAGCAATACATCGTGCAAAGCTAATAGCAAGGTAATCCTTATTTTGGCGAACAATAGAGGAAATACGTAACGTATATATATATATATATATATATATATATATATATATATATATATATATATATATATATATATATATATATATACATATATATATATATATATATATATATATATATATCCACATAAGGATGTGAGGAAATAAGTTCAGTGTTTATTTCCCCGACCTTGCCTATTTCGTCAACATTGTAACGAAATAATTTGAGGAAAAACAAAAAAATCTCCTACATAAAATGCTGATATCAACGTCAAAAGATAGGCCAATTTATTTTATTAATGCAGTTGAAATTCTTAATATTTGTAATGAAATAAATCATATTTAGACTATCCCTAGCCCTAACCAACCGCTCTAAGCCTAACCCTAACCCTAAGTAAGATCTAATGCGTTAAAAAACTATTGCTGCTGACTTTAAAAACAAACACAATACATACCTACTTGCGACTCGCACTATCGCGGCACATTACACACTACGAACATTGTTAATCGTATCAATTACATCGCGTGGTGATTTGTAGAGGGCAAGAACTACAGTGGCAAATAGGGTTGAGGACGTGGACACATATAGCACAGTTTACTTATTTATGTGACCTATTTCTGTGATTTTAAGCTGTGGTTAAATAAATAAAGCTTTATTAATTACCAAAGTGGTTATAAAAGAGCTTTGCTTTAACCCATATTCTGCTAGCGTCCCACTTATGGGACGCTTGTAAAAAAAAATTGCTAAAATTTATTAAAAACTAGTTAAAACACAAATTATGTTTCATTGTATTTGAAAATGGTTAGACTATTGAATTTGTGTGTGTTTTATGAAAAAAATTAATTTAGAAAAATGTTATAGTGCGGATTTGCAGGACTTGTCAAAATGGCGGAAAAAAGAAAACATGCGCACAGGAAAATGCATATCTTCTAAAATATTAACATTTTAAGTGCAAAATACATTTGAAACTTGTAGCAGTACCATATTTCTATCTGATAAAAATTTAAGAATAAATTTTTTTTTTACTACTTCGTTATATCAAGTGTACAACAAGCGTCCCATAAGTGGGACGCTAGCAACGAATGGCCCCATGTAGATTGTTACACAAACGTCACATTTATTTGACACTAGCGAGAAACACATATGCAAATGTTTATGTTAAATGGTTATTTATGGTGAAACAATTGTTGACTATGTTAACTGCTGACTTTGGGGTGTTAAGTACTATTTATAGATATTTAATTATGACCTTGACCTATATTTATGCAGATTGTTACACAAACGTCACATTTATTGGACACTAGCGAGAAACACAGATGCAAATATTCATGTTAAATTGTTAATTATGGTGAAACAATCTTTGACTTTGTTAACTGTTGACTTTAGGGTGTTAAGTAGTATTTATAGATATTTAATTATGACCTTGAGCTATATTTTCTTATATATTATTGTATTAAAAAATTGCAAATATTGAAAAACTTACATTTTATTTTTAAGTTTTCAGAATTACGCTTACTGAAGTATTTAATACCATTGAATACAAACTAATTTAGTATTGCTGTAAATTTACTAGCGCGTGATATTAAAATTATAACAAACCAGAATAATAACAATGGCCACGATTGAGGTGAAATGATTCAGTCAAGGGGGTTGGTTAACTCTCTTCATATAAGAGCTCAAGCTACATATAGCAGAAATGTGAATTAGCCGTGTACTAGTGTCATGCCCCAATAATATTCCCATCCAAAGGTTACCGATACCAGTTTTACTTTGTTAACTTTTTAAGGAGATTCCTGGTATTAGATTGGGAGCTGTTCACATAGTGAGGTGCATACATGGATGAGAGCCATGAACACTCAATACAAGCCCCCAGAAACAGATCCGTGCCCTAGACATAAGATGTCTGATGTCCTAATGTACGCCTGTGAGGGGGGGGGGGGGGGAATAGCAAGGGTAACAAAAGAGAAGATGGCTGGATGACATCTGGGACTGGAAAGGATCGTCTTTTGCAAATTCACTGAGGGCAGAGTTTCTTTCAGGCATCATTTCGGAGAGGAGTGGGGGGGGGGGGGGCTCTGCACCCAGATCAAAATGGAATTTATATGCATAACATACTTTTACCAATGTCCACCCTTCCCCTGAAATTTAAGTCCCCCCCCCTGAAAATTTCAAGTACGCCCCCCAAAAAATCAATTATTTATATTTAATTATATTACAGTTTCGGTGAATAATAACAATATTTGTGATCATATGTGTATAATTAGATGTACTAGTCACAGCTTTACTTATTTCCAAGTGTTGTTCACTTTGATGGATGCTAGATTGAAAGAAAAATAGACTTTTGAACAAAATGTCTGCATTTTAGACCATGGTATGGCTAACCCAATTGATCATTATCATTATTTTTAGCTGTCCTAAACAATGTAATCATTGGCCTAACAATTCAAAATCAGTATGCAGCTTAATTTTCGCGTGATTAGCCATATTTCGTGATAAATGATTTTATTTTTCAATAAATGTACATGGGGCCGTTCGTTGCTAGCGTCCCATTTATGGGACGTTTTTTAAAAAATCGATATTTAAAAAAGTATTGATTTTAAAAAAAAATCCATGATCATTCCTTCATTCAGTGCCCAAAAGCTAAACTATATCAAAAAATTATAAAAATTTGAGACCTTGGGATAATATGGGTTAATTTAAGTCCTTGGTAAAATGTTTCTATGACAAGTTATACAGGATGTTTATATTATAATGTGGATTTGTTAGAACTATTTTAATAGATAAATTTAAGTTTAAAAGGTTCACAATTCCTATCTCTAGATCCCAAAAAGTTAAATTGGTGACTTTTAACGCACTTCTCTCTTTCTCTATTTCTCTCTCTCTCTCTCTCTCTCTCTCTCTCTATATATATATATATATATATATATATATATATATATATATATATATATATATATATATATATATATATATATATATATATATATATTGCTTTTGTAAACATTGGCTCGTTTTGAGTGAAATATAGATTCCCTTTAAAGTAGTATATTCTACTAACTTAATACCTCTGGGGTTTTTTTTCTAAATAAACGGGTGGTTTTGTCTCAAAATACCTAACGTTTCTATTACTCGATTATATCGCAAACAGAAAATAATCCAATTAAAACCAATAAAGTTTGTTTTGAATACACGATAAAGTTTATGGGAGTTATCTCCGCCTTGATCCTGTGTAGGTTAACACATGAGTTTAAAATATAGGTTGTAAACATAAAACTATGCACTAAGGGGTGATCCATAAATGACGTCCCGCTTTTTGTTACTATTTTTACCTCCCTCATCCCCTCCGTCACACATTGTTACAAAAAGCCAGACCCCCCCCTTAAATGACGTCACACCTCAGCCTACAACCCCCCTCAAAATTGCAGTTGAATTTCTTTTTTAAACATCGATATTTTTCCAAAATCTTGTCTTAACTCTGTCAAAATAGAGTATTTTAATCAATTCATATTACAATTTATTTAAACAGTTTTCCAAAACACGAAAAAACGTCTAAAATTCGTTTACTAACATTGCTTTTTTATAATGTAAAAGTGTGACGTCGCACCATTTGAACAACCCCTCCTCCCCCTCATCACACACCGTCACAAAATTACGACCCCCCCCCCCCTCACCCTCCAAGCGTGTCGTCTTTTATGGACGACCCCTAAATTGTACAAATGGTAGTATAATTGACATATATATTTTAGTGAAAATTTGGTTTATACATTTATATAATATTTTAAATGTTTATATATATATATATATATATATATATATATATATATATATATATATATATATATATATATATATATATATATATGTATATATATATATATATATATATATATATATAATATTCATAAATATATTTTTAAATGTTACAATAAGAAATACATGTTATTCATCAAATTTAACAATGTTTTCAAATGAAGACAATAATATGAGGTCTTACGGTATTTTGCCACACCACATGTTAAAGGTTAAAAATAAATGTCTGACTCTTACATGTCAGTATTTAATTAATGTTTATTAATTAGAAAACGTCACTCGTGATGGGAACTCAAGTTTTCTTAACTGGGGCAAATTGCTCTTTCCGTTTCTAGTTACTTTGATAAGTATGTTGGTATCGATGAAAGAGTAATCGGTATCGTGCTAGTAACTACATGTCGGTTCTTGATGCGACTACTTTCTTAGTCTAGTATATATGTAATGAGACGATTACACGAAAAAATCTATGTGATATTATCTGACATCATGTTTCAACTTCAGACATTTATTTGTGACCAACTCAAGCGGCAAACTCATTACGTGATATCTGTTTACAAGTGCATGTTGACCTTCAACCTCCTGTCAACTTATGTATGTTTTTAACTGGTCGGTATATAAGTACGAGACTATTTAACAAACAAACCAGCTATGAGAACGTACTCAGCTGAGTTGATTTTATTGCAATAGATTAAAATGTCTGCTTTGTATTTTATTGCTGTGTTAGCCGTCAACTTATTTCTGTCGTTTGGTAAGCTAAATTTAATTATATTAGGCCTTTTATACCAAGTTGAAAATATTATCATTTAAAACGGAACAGTCGAATGTTAGCCGATAAAAACATTACTTAATTAGCCTTATTATTAATTAATTACTTTTATGCATTTTTGTAAGACATAGTGCATTTGTCGCATGTTAAAATTATAAAACAGAAATTAATTTACTTAAGAACTTGTTTTAAATTTTAACATTAAAATAACAATATAAACATAATACACTTAATATGACTCGCCCATAAATACATTATTTTGAAATGATTGGACAATTCAGCTCCATGTACCACGCATCATCATTAGATAGAAAGTGTACATAAAGGGATACAAATCGGTGTGGTTGATTATCCAGAAAATATTAACTTGGTTGTTGCCCTTTAAATGGTGATAGCGAAACAATAAGGCTATTCCGCTGATTATATATTTCCTCTTATAAAAAAATAGCATATCAGAAACGCGCATGTATCTAGTTCATTGATCTTTATTAATTAAGCTTCACAATTATTTGTTATTGTAAAAAATAATTATTTCAGAATTTTATTTTAATCAAAGGTAATCGTTTTTTGCAAACTGATGTTTTTATAAAGATAAACTCAAAGGTTAAAGGATTTCAGATCTTATGTAATACAATAGTATTTATAAAAGAAGGTTTAAAAATTTTAAAATCACAAAGCGACATAACTGTGACTTCCGCTTATGAAAGGAGAGTTCGTTTAGTTTTCTTTCACTAAGCATCACATCCGAAATCTTCAGTGATGTAGCCTACATATAAAGGTGACGTTCTTTGTGGATGACCCTAAAACCCACAGATTGTAATTTTTTATTTTTAAACAATTAAACTTAAGTACAATAATTTTCAACAATATTTAACAAAGAAATGTTTTTATTGTGTTTGAATGATGAAGGAACTTCGTAATTGGGTTGTGGCAAGCTCGACTGCTAGCAGGAAAGTGGCGAGTTCGGTTCCCGGACTGGAGATTTTAAGAAATCACATAATCTCTCTGATGTGTACACAATATTTAATTTATTGAACGCGTTAGATATTACGTAATTAATTTTGTCTACTGTTTTCTAGGCCTTAAAGTTGATATGACCAGAGAACACTTTTACCATGGGAAAAGTTTATTTTGTGCACAACTCCAGTGTACAGAAAACATAACAGAAGACACTCAGATGTCAGCTCTTGTCAACATGTCAGTCTATAGGATCAGTGAATCTGAAGGGAAGATTTTGTTGGCGTCTATTTCAGGATCTGATTCAAAGGTTCGCGATTATAAAATATCTGGGATATTATCTGAGGGCAAACTTTCCAAACATCACGGAGAACTGGTCTTGTCTTTCTCCTATACTTCAGCCTGTAATTTACACCAGTATAAATGTCAAGTATATTTTACCAATAAGACAGGAGACACTGGAATGCTAGAGAACAGAACAACGTCTTACAAAAGAGAGAAAATAAAGAAATCTGTTTTGCTGATGAATTTGAAAGCTGAAACTTTGAACTACGTGAAAACTGTGGACACAATGGCAGATTTTCTGAAATCGTTTGAAGATCCAGAAAAACTAAAAGGTGCAGACATGTCAATGTCCTTACAGATGTCACATTCAGCTAGAGATGGGTACAGTGACGACAAGGCTCCGATTCCATCATCTACAGAGTTAAACAACAGTAACGAACACATTAGCTCTACTAATACTGTAGATGTGCTTGGTGCCAAGATAAATAACATCACAGAACAAATGAAAACAGTGAATAACAAAGTTGAAGCAATAGAAATGAAAGTCAACGATACCATTACAAGAAACGACCAAATGAACCAATTGGTAGAGGCTGTAAATATAACTTTACAAGAGATTAAAATCGACTTAGACACTCATCCTATGATAGTACGGCTAACACGTCAGGTATATGATTTCTCTTATTTTCACAAACCCTCTATTTAAAAAAAATATTTGATACGAGCCGACTCGCGGCATATCATACGCCGATATTTAGTTGTTTTATTTTCTACTTTTTAGTAATTCATAACTTGTGAATTCACAGTACCAATGCTGCCACTGAATATATTTGCTTTAAAACACTGTCAGTAGCTCGTTAAGGGCGATACCCTCCCCCCCCCCCCCCCCCGTAAAAGCAGCCTCCTCTTAGTTACTTCTCCTAAGTTTAAAATAGTTTCAAACTAAATTATCTGCCCCTAATAGCCGTCACTAAACCCGGCTCTACGACTGTAAATATTTAGCGTGAACCACAGCTCACCAGACCATGTAGGGGTGGGGGCGGTAGGGAGCGCGCTTACAGCTTGTTTTCTAGGGTCTCCAAGAAGAGAATTATATATAGATTGTTTGGTTTTTGGACTGAATAAATAAATCAGGTGTAAATGAAGTGGTATATTGAGTTTACGTTGTTAGACCAATGACTGCATTGTGTATCAAAGCTCAACATACCAACCGTCGTGCTCAATTGGTTTAGCCATACCCTAGCTTAAAATAGCAAAAATTCTGTTCAAACATCTGATATTCTTTCAATAATGTATCCATAAAATCATGCAAAAAAAAATCGACGTTTTACATCTCCCTGAGTCGGAAAAACATAGTTTTGCAATCTGGTCCGTATGTCTGTGTGTGTGTGTGTGTGTGTGTGTGTGTGTGTGTGTGTGTGTGTGTGTGTGTGTGTGTGTGTGTGTGTAAACACAATAACTTGAGTACCGTTACAGCTAGATTGATGAAATTTCACATACAAGTATTATATCAAATTTGTAGATTTCTGTAAACTTTTGAGCGATTTCTGATAAACGGAAGTGGAACTATTTCTACTTTCAATTTTTAAAAAGCCTATAACTCAAATAGGCCTACTATTTTAGATAAATAAATGAAATTTCACATATACGTAAAAAGATCTAATTCTCTGCCTTCAGTCAAATTTTGAGTATTTTCCTTTGAACGGAAGTTGTAATTTACACAATTTCCGACTTCTCAAAAAAACGCATATGAATTTATAAAGTGCTAATATTATTCCGCACTATTATACACATTTTGTTTGGCGTTCACATGGTGCGATTAACTTTATTCTACGCGATTCTATTCTATTTTAAAAATTTTAAGTAATTAAAAATGGCTTAACAATAATGTCTATATCCGAGTTTTCATCCTCCGTAGTGTGTTATATAAGAATATCCGAGAGAGTTTAGGGGAGATCACCCCCGGTTTATTTGTTTTGTTTTAATTTTGATTAACTTTGTGTAATCATATTTATACCATCGCTTGATTTAAATCTAACAACATATATATAAGTATTTACTATCATGTATTCAAATAAATGCTCCAACATACCAACAAATTTTAGTAAAACATGAAATACAACAAACATTATACACGTGGTGGGTAATACTATCACAATATTTCTTTGTTACCAGTTGATAGCGATGTGATTTCATGCTGCAAGAAAAAATTACAGACCAGTTGCCAAAATGTCTAGTTTTTTATTAGTTCTGTTATACTCGGAATAAGAAGTTTTGCAAATCTCTCAAATTTTGTAACTTTCTTTTTCTTCATATAAAAAAATAATGTATTATACAACATGTTACGATCATTCTTTCTTTAAACTAAAACACGATTCAAGGTACTGTTCAAACCTTAATTTAAATTGTCATCTTAAGCCCCAAATTCGACCTTGGGATCACAATATATAAACACACCGGGGTTAACTCAACTCACACACGCACTCTCCCCTAAGTTCTAGACTATTCTAATCTAACCTCTAAATGACCCGTAATACAACATGTTAAAATATATATTTGCACATAATTCTAACACAATTTTCTTCACGTAAAAGAAATACGTAATTTACATCATTATACATTTTTCCTAACAAATATAATGTCGTTTATTGTTTACCTGTAAATAGTGCAACAAGGATGGCAAAACAAATCTGATGGATCGAATCATCATAATACTTGATAAAGGAAAAGAGGCTTTGTGTGACACAAAAACTGATGGTGGAGGCTGGATCATCATACAGGTTTTTCTCTCTTAAATATCAATTAGTCAATTGTTGTCTGATTGTTTCAACAGTTAATATTTTGAGTAAATTAAACATTTTGTTCCAGAGACGTATTTTGGGAGACGTCAATTTTACCAGAGATTGGAACGCCTATAAACATGGATTTGGTTCAATGGCTGGAGACTTCTGGCTTGGGAATGACTGGATCTCTAACCTGACCATGATGGTAGGTTTTTATGAAATATGATTACGTACAGTGTAATAATATTCAATAATTAATTACATAATTAAACATTTATTGTCACTTTCCAGGGCTACAATAAACTGAGAATCGACATGACTCAAAAAGGTAAACAGTACTACGCCCATTTTGGTTATTTCAAGGTAGAAAATGAAGCAGCGTCGTATAGAATGAGCTTGTCGTCATTCAGTGGAAACTTTCAAAACAATAACGGCCTTAGCTACGTTAATGGTATGAAGTTTTCTACACTGGACAGAGACAACGATGCGTACAGCGAAGATTGTGCTGCATTGTGTAAAGGTGGTTGGTGGTATAGAGACTGTCAGTATGTGAACTTAAATGGCATCTGGGGAATAACAGACCGTAATCGAGGAATAAACTGGTATCTGATATCAAGTGATGGAGAAACTTTGGACTCAGTTGAGATGAAAGTACGCATAGTCTGAACTATTTAAAATGCATGATGTTGTATACTATTCTTATTCATAAATTGTATAGCATCAAGTAAACATTTGGTGGACATGAACATGTAACAATTTTACAGAAATTAAAAAACGCAAGTGTTAACGCAAAAGTTGAACACAACAAAGTTGGAAAAGAAACTGATAAAACACTAAAGACTACTAGCTGAAAGCTAACTTATAATTATCACCACACAACAAGTATAAAAACAGTAAAAATAATGCACTGCTATAATAATGGTATAAAGTTTTCTACCAACGATAAAGGCTTATATAACAGCAGAAATTGTGCGCGGATTTCTTAAATTGGTTAATGATATAAAGATTATAGAAATGCAAAATTTGTTGTTTTATTATTAATTTGCGTCACATAAAATTCTCTACGTTAATGAAATCAATCTATATGGTTTGTTGCATAATGTATTGCATTTTCATAAGAAATTCAAGGATCTCGACCTAATTTACCCGCTATACTCGGATCTGCTCTCCTCTGTTCTTTTCTGTCTGTTTTGATCTGTTCCCTAACTTTCTCTTCAACAATAATTATAAATTAAAGTCAAAGATAAAAATAGCAAGGAGACGTTTAATTATAACCAGCTTATTTACGAAATTTACCCAACTCAAAGTATTAAAGCTGAATTATTTGTTGCTTAAAAAATGAATAGCAATGAGCTATAGCAAGACATTTCAGATTGAAGGGAAACAATTCGTATTTATAAGTTACAAACCGCGATACAGGAATTTAGTTCACATCCAAACAACACACCCAAGTGTGTACTCACCCTCCATGTAGCACATGGCAGGCCGGAAGTAAGGTCTGTAGTCTCGGACTGTGTAGTTCTGCTGGTAGAAGGCCCGGAACCACTCGATCATCTCCGTGATCTGAAGCTGATGGCATGGAAGGTGAGGCGTTAGGATAGGGATAGTTTGATGTGTTTGCTCATAAGGACAGGGATAATAGGACACAAAGTGACTCGTTAGGACAGGGATAGAAGATCAACATATTAATATTGACTCGTTAGGATAGGGATTATATGGCAACACATTGACTCACTAGGATAGGGATAGGAGGTCAATTATTGTCACGTTAGGATATGTATAGTAAGACAACATATTGACTTAGTAGTTTTGAAAATTTTAGGGATGAGAGGGGGACAATACAATTAACAGACCAGAACACACAGACAGACATTAAAACACACAAACACATGAGTATACATATATATAAGATAGTATAATAAACCAATGAATGTTTTACTTACATCGACCGTTGGTTTACTAAGCACAGCTGGTGGTATTGGGGGTGGGGACAGGTTGACCACAGTACGGAAAACTTTACTGGTGGGGTGGGGCTGCACCATCCGGTAGTCGTTGTATTTATGGCCGTGTCTATCGTAGCAGCCTCAGTTAAAATGGGAAAACCCCAGCCCACAGCGATGGCAAGAACCACAGCTTATTTGAACAGTAGAAATGAAGGTTAACAATTGGCACTCACGATTTACTTATCCAATGTGGAAAACTGCACACAGCTCACCATGTAATACATTGACAGTTTTGTCTTAAATTTAACATTACATATATGAATAGATTTTTTATATGCCTCCAACATATTGACATGTAAATGAATTAAGAAAAGCTAAAATGGGTTTTATTGCATTGAATGGTCGATTGGAAATTTTTTTTACTCTTAGTAACAATTAATAATAGAGCATTGGCGAATAGACAATCCATGATTATATGCACAGTCACCTCAAGATCAATAATTTCTCGCTAAAAGAAGGCTAGATTGTGTGAACAATCACTGATTGTGTCATCAATCCTTTATTCTGCAAATGTTCCAAATTACAGTGAGCCACCCTACAACTACAATTGAATACTCGCACAAACGCAGATTAAATAATAAAAAATGTAAAACTCTAGACCAAGGTTAAAACTAGGCCCTAGTCTCTCGTCTAAACTAAAAACTTCAACTAATCTACACGGGCTAAAACTAGATAAACATTTAGTCCAAAGTAAAATAAAAACAACAAAAAAACAAAACAAAAATAGACTAAATTATAAGTCGTAACAAAAAAAAATAATAGCAGAATCTCACCAGCATATCTCAAGCAGTTAAATTTCTCAGCAAGCGAATAACGTCTCACTCAGCTCACCTGAATGAATACAATCGTACCCCGCCAGTGTCACCTTATTTCAGTGGCGGAAATAGTAAAAAAGGCTCCCCTGCAAAAAATATTTTTAGGCCTTCCCTATATATATATATATATATATATATATATATATATATATATATATATATATATATATATATATATATATATAATTCACTTAATACAAAACTATTGAAAAGGATTTTTATGGACACCCCTTTTAGAGTATTTAAAGAAGGGCCTATCTTTCACACAACAGTGTGTGTTAGTTATTGTAAAACAATCACTGCTAAAGTAGACCTTTTTTTTTTACAAAATTAAAATTACGGTGCACGAAAAAGATTATATATGAAAATACAATTGATTGTGTTTTTGGTCGGAAGTGGGCCCTCTACATGGCCTGCCGCCAACCCCCCCCCCCCCCCCCCGCACTTTGGGGTCTGGCGCCATGTTGGTTCCGTCCCTGCTTTCCTGCTTTATATACACTACAGAAACCAATTTCATGTTGGACTTCCATTAACATAACTAGCATATAATTACGTGATACACATCTGATGGGAGGTGACTATTGTTGTCGAGATGGAAGTTATTATATAGAGTTATCTACCGTCGCTATGACAAGCAACGAGCTGATTGCTGAGTTAAAGCACAACCGTTTAAAAACTTTGAATATAATACTAATTTGACTATACTCCATGCCCATTTATACATTAAAAATAACCAAAACACTTTTTTTTAAAAGCATAACTGAAAAACTAAACCTAATCATCAACATAACCTGAAACTGACTAATACCTAAACTGTATTCCTCACATTAAAACTAATTTAATTGAAATCTAAAGCCTGGATAAAAAAAAAGTTTTAAAGAGTAAGGGACCGTGTACATAGTATTTCACACAACATTAGACATTTCTGAAACATTGAACTGCATCGCGTTACTCACAGTTCTAGTATGCCACCTCCCTTATCGTTCATTTAATTTACATAATTTCCCTACCCTTATGATCCAAATAAAATACTCAAAATAATGAATCGAAGTCGTAAGATGTTAAAGTAAAATTTTGGAAAACTGTCTGCAGTATGAGGTAACAACAAAAACTAATCTCCAACTTAGCTCAACCCCCTCTTCACCCCAATTGACGTTTTCATCTTAGACTCCTGCCCAGTTCCTCGTTGTCTTTCATTTATGTGGACCACTCGACAGAGGCGGATGGTCATAAGGAACTCCATTTTTGTGGTTGTTTGTTGGTGGTGAGGTTGGCGTAGTGTCGACATCCACACATCAAATGTAACATTTGCATAATATTGAGAAAAATACGCATTTTCCACCGGCGCTTTTCAATAATTCTAAAACGCATTTCGTTAAGTTTTCGTAAACAATGAATTGAGACTATTAGAGGACTAAGCTTCTGCTTTCTTTTTTTTTCTCTAGAATAACTTACATTTCTATGAACTCAGATTACAATATTTCAACCAGTAGATAACCCTGGCCGCTAGTCATGGCCCTTAACGCACATCGACTTTCATAAGGTTAAAGTCTCATTGCCGGCTATACCAGAGTGACAAACGAAAAGATAATCGATACAACCAAATATCACCGAATAAGTGCATGAAATATTGATTACATACTTCTACCCGAGCTAAAAATAAACGAGTGTTTACCGAAGTGTGTGCTGCCAACCGTGACCAGCCAATATATCGTGTACACATGAAGTTGCTTGCTACACACTCAAGCGCCAGTCTACTGTGTTGACACGATGTAGGTATTGATCTTTCATATCTGTCTTTCTATACGTAACTAGTGAGCTATTTAAAAAAGTTTTTAAAATAGTTTGAACATAGATATTTTCCATATTGTGAGAGTGTCTCGTACATTAAATTTTAAAAGGTTTATAGTACACATTTCAAATTAATAAAACGCCCTATTTATTGAAACCTATCGTATCTTACACATCCAGCTGCTTTCGCTTACTGTACCTACCTTGTTGTTGATTAAGCTGACAAGACAGTGTATGGCATATTTTATTAAAATCTTGTTCTTTTCCCCTTCTACATTGCATTACAACAACCCAATTCCTCTTATGAGTTTGACTCTAGTGGACTGTCAAACCAAAAGCTGATCTACATCCTAATATCATTTGATAAACTTTCTCACTCACTCTGTCCCTTTCTTATACAGGTAAGAACAGCACGAGCAATTCACTTAACGCACACAGCAACAGTAAGCTTAATCGGGCATAGTTCATGTACGTTGTCTGCCTCTAGACCAGTTTTCATTTACTAGCCCACTAGTAAATAGCACTATGTGGTTTCAGGAATGGTCTTAGGCTATTCGGTTGCTAACTTCATTTGAATATGACTGCATCTGTGCCAGGTAGACTCGTATGCTCAAATTCCTTCTGGATTCAAAGTTATGCTATTACGAAATGTGTCTGTACCCTCGTCTGCTAAGAGTGCTGACAAAATAAATTCCTTCTAATGTTGTTGTATCAGTTACAAGACTTTTGTCCAGCCCACTCAGATCAAATTGACAATAGAACTTCCTTATATATATGCATATATATATATATATATATATATATATATATATATATATATATATATATATATATATATATATATATATATATTTATAATCAATATTTAAATATATTTTCAGGATAGCGTTGAAATAATTTAATATTCAACTTGCAAGTCGCAATGAGGTTTTGCGATTAGTTCACATGGAAAATTAAAACAGCCTTTAAATAAAAATTATACGATTTGTATGAACTGTATGCGATTGTAAAAAAAACAGTAAATTTATACATAAATTTAAATACACGTAAATAGAAAATATTTCAGACATGCAGAAATCTTCAGTAGTGAATTCATCGTTGTTGGCGGCATCCAAAGAAGGAGACGAATACATTATACAATTGCTTATTGAGGATGGATGTGATGTTTCTGCTCGTGATAATGAAGGACGTAATGCATTGATGTTGGCTTCTGAAAATGGCAATGGACGTGTTGTAGAGATGCTAGTTAATAGTGGATGTGATGTAAACGCCGTGGATGAGTTTGAATACAGTGCGCTAATGTTAGCCGCACAAAATGGCCACGAAAGTGCAGTTGGGTTGCTTATTAAATGTGGCTGTGAAGTGAATGCTGTAAAAAGTGATGGGTGGAACGCATTAATGTTAGCCTCTTATTTTGGACATGAAAAAACTGCCCAAGTTTTAATTGAAAATGGAGGTGACATGACAGCTGTTCAAAATGATGGTTTCAATGCAGTCATCCTTGCACTGAAAAATGGGCATGAAAATGTTGTTAATGCATTTGTTGAAAACGGGTATGACATAAATGCTGTTCAAACTGACGGATGGAATCCATTAGTGCAAGCTTCTCAAAATGGCGATGAAAAAATGGTGGAGTTGCTGATGAAATGCGGATGTGACATCAACGCTGTTCAAAGCGATGGATGGAATGCATTAATGTTAGCCGCTCAAAATGGACACGAACGAATTGTTTCGTTTCTTTTGAAATGCGGATGTGACATCAACGCTGTTCAAAGCGATGGATGGAGTGCATTAATGTTAGCCGCTCATAATGGATACAACAGCAGTATAAAACTGCTAATTGATAGTGGGTGTGACATGTATTGTTTTAATAAAGATTCAGAAGATGCGTTAATGATAGCGTTTAAAGCGGGAAACGACGAAACTGTGGAAATGTTAATAAGAAGTGGATTTAGTAAACGAATAGGAGCTCTCATGTGGGCTTCGGGAAATGGACATGAGAAAGTAATTATGCAACTAATTAAAAACGGATGCGATGTTAATGCCCTTTATAAAAACGACACTGCTTTAATGATGGCATCAGTAAATGGACATACCGAGGTTGTAAAATTGTTAATTCAGAGTGGATGTAATTTAAATGCTATTAATAAATATACGTCATTAGAGCTATCCATTGAGGCAGGTTATGAAACTGTTAGTGAGCAATTAATAAAAAGTGGATGTAATTTAAATGCAATTAATTTTTGTGGAGAAACAGCTTTGCTGTTGGCCTGTCAATATGATCAGGAAAAAACTGTAGAGCTGCTAATTAATCATGGAGGTGATGTTAATGCTGTTGATTATTTAGGAAATAATGCATTAATGGTTACCGACAACAATAAAATTTTAGAGTTTTTAATCAAAAGTGGATCTGATATATGTGCTGTTAATAAAAAAGGATGGAATGCTTTAATGTTAGCCTCTTCAAGTGGATCGGAAGAAAAAGTTAAGTTATTGCTTAAGAATAAATGTGACGTAAATGCTTTAAATAAAGACGGATGTAATGCGTTAATGTTAGCATCTCAATCTGAATCTGGAAATGAACAAACATTACAGCTGTTGATTAAAAGTGGATGTGATGTCAATAACGTTTCCAAAAGACAATACAATGCCTTAATGCTGGCATCAGAAAAAGGTCACACAAAATATGTAGAGCTTCTGATCCAAAATGGATGTGATATTAACCTAGTTAACAAAAATGGTTACAATGCAATAATGTTAGCGTTACTGAATGGGCATTTAGATACCGTGTCGTTACTTTATGAAAATGGGTGTGACTTACATATCATGGACTGTAACGGATTCAATGCATTAATGTTAGCATCTAAGCAGGGGCACGTAGAACGTGTTGAATTTCTCCTCAAAATGGGATGTGATGTAAATGCAGTTAACGCGGTTGGATCTAACGCAGTAATAGTAGCTTTAGAAAAAGGTCATAAACAAATTGGGGAACTATTGATTAAAAATGGGTGTGATATCAACATCAGGAAATGGAATGAATACACAGTGTTAATGTTAGCATCTCAGAAAGGACATAGAAATATTGTAGAGATGTTAATTAAAAGTCAGTGTGACGTTAATCTGGGTAAGAGTGACGGGCACAACGCGTTAATGTTAGCCTCTAAAGAAGGACATGACGATATAGCAAGTTTACTCATTCAAAGCGGATGTAGCGTCAACAGAGTTACAAAAGACGGATACAACGCAGTTATGTTAGCCTCGGCGAAAGGACACACATCAACTATAGAACTGCTAGTTAAATACATATGTGATGTTACTGTCACGGAGAAGAACGGGCACAATGCATTGATGTTAGCATCTAAATATGGACATTCAAAAGCTGTGGATGTACTCATTAAAAGTGGCTGTGACGTCAATTCTGTAAATAAATATGGAAGCAATTCCTTAATGTTGGCCGCACAGAATGGACACCATTCGACCGTTGAGCTGCTAATAAAATGTGGATGTCATGTTAACACTTTGGATAAAAATGGAAAAAATGCCTCATGGAAAGTGTTACAAAATAGAGATGTCCTTTTCCCAAAGAAACTTAAAACAATAACTCTGCTATTGAAAAATGGTTTAGATGTTAATCTGGTAAGTATACTACAGTCTTTGATTATTTGATATCAAGAACGTTTCGACTCGATTGGGGTTAAAAGTTTTTTTAAAAAGGGTGAAGTGGACGTAGTTAGATATTGGTTTGTGTAATGCAATGAAGTCGACAGACCGTTTTCCAATGAAAAACTTGGTCGTCTAGTGTCTTCTAAAAATGATTCAGCTTATTTTATTAAAGTAATAGGTTTTTGTTTGGCCATATCACTGTATAATGTTTAATAACTGCTTTTTTGTAGATACCGAAAAATGATTTTTATCAGCTGTGTGGTTCTAGTCTCAATTTCGTCAACAAGAAACAGCAAAACGAAAATAGTGCAGAGAAACACCACATTTTAGAATATAAGGATCTTATTGATCTACTTTGTCACTTGGAAAAATGTGCGGATCCAGCGCTGAGTAAAACGATAACCTGCATCTTCTGGCACATTAAAAAAAGTTTAATTTCTTTGCAACGTGACATAGGTAAGTATATGTAAAAGGGTAATATGTATAAGCATGCAAATACACAAATAGATAAACACACCCACTCAAAAACAACACACACACACACAAACACACGCACACACACATTATATATATATATATATATATATATATATATATATATATATATATATATATATATATATATATATATATATATATATATATATATATATATATACATACATATATATATATATATATATATATATATATATATATATATATATATATATACTTACATGTATGTAATAGAAATGCCTAATCTTGTTTCCATTCTCTGCGGCACAGCTGATGCCAAGTTGTATAGGTAATGCCCTTCCTCTGGTACATTAGTTGATACATGGTCAATTTATGACATTATGCAGTTCATGTCTCTGTTCTTTGTTGTTGGTCTTTTGTTTTTGTTTTTATCCCGTGAGTATTGAGCAAAACCCTTTTTACAGAGGTGGTAGTCAGCCGTTTTCTGAGTTTGACCAAACCAATGTTATTTTATTTGAAGAACGTCTTCCTCAGCATGTTTGTTGGATTGATTACTGTCAACAATATTTTTGTATTCTTAATTATTTCGGTATATATGTATATATATCCTATTAAATGTGTGAACATGCTCAATATTTAAAGTTTTATTGACGAAAATATCTTATTGCCTTTCTCGTAGATTCGTTTTTATCGCCGTCTTTACCGCGTAGATGGAGATCTGAACAGCCGTTTGCATTAGGCGCCTTTGGACAAGTCAGTCTACTGATAGATGAGGACAACCCACACGAGAAGAAATTTGTCATTAAAACCTTGAACGTTGATGCAGCTACAAAAGATAAGCATGATGTATACTTGTTATTACATGTTTTTGAAATTTATAAATTTAAAATGAATACAAGTTAGAAAAAATGTCTTGAGCTCCAAAATGTTTTTATTATTTTTCTACTACCTTTTCCAAAAGTACACATAAGTAAAGTACATATTACAAAAAGTAGATATTACAAAAAGTAGATATTACATAAGTGGGCCTATGTGTAATCAAAAGTACATATTACAAAAAGTGAATATAACAAAAAGTAAATATTACAAAAAGTACAATATTAAAAATACATATTACAAAAATAAATATTTAAAAAAATAAAAATATTATAAAAGAGTGAACAAAGTAATTGAAATATGTCTGATTGATCATTTTTACTTGTGATATATCACTATAAAACATTTTAACTTTTGCTATATCACTATAAAACATTTTTAATTTTGATATATCACTATACAAATTTTTTACCAGTGCGATTCTTTTTCAGAAAGTTATGGAGCTGCGAGTTTTATTGCAGCTTGAGCATGAACGAATCGTTCCGTTTTATGGCTTTATTTTTGAAGGAAATATTTTGAGCTTAATATTTGGATACATGAAGAAAGTAGGAAACAATATTTTCATATCTTGTAGATTTATTTTCGTCTGTCCTGTTCATTATATCAGCCCTGAGACTCACAAGGGTAACATTTTATGTAAACAACATGGAATAAAAATATTAAGATGAGTGTGATTTAAATGGTTATTAATATTTAAACCATCCTTAAGAGGCTTTAGAAAATGTCCATTATGGTTGAAATGGTTGTGTGTTATATAATATAATATTACCATACGTAATAGTGGTTAAGGTTAGAGGTTAAAGGACTTTATACTGTGTTAATATTTGAATGCAATATTTTATTAAAAGTGGTGACAAAACCTTTCTGATATTAAGGGGGCACATACGGCCAGAACATAGTTACATTTACGATTACTGTTTCAAAATTATATTAATTAGAAAACAAAGAAAAATTAACTAGGAAAGATTTAATTGGAAAACAGCGAAATTTGAACTAGGAAGAAATTTTAAAATGTTACAAAATAATTGAGTAATTTGATTAACTGGAAAGAGTGAAATACTAATAATACAATATGTGTTGATTTGTTCGGTAACTGATTTGTTCAGAGAGCGTGGTGGGTAGTTCGTTTGTGTAAGGCGTCATCCTTAAATGAAGTCAAGCTTTTTTGACGATTTTTACCCCTCGTCCCTCCCCTCTGTCACACATCGTTACAAAAAAACAGACCTCCCCTCCCTAAATTCAGCCTACAACCTGCCTCCCTCCCCCCCCCCCGCCTCAAAACTGCAGTTGAATTTTTTTTATAACTTCCGTATTTTTCCTAAATCTGAACTCAGTTATTATAGAGTATTTAATCAATTCCTATTACAATTTATCAAAACAGTTTTCTAAAACGCGAAATAACGGCTAAAACTCATTTTCTAAAATTGTTTTTTTTTACAATTCAAAAGTGTGACGTCACACCATCTAACCCCCCTCTCCCTCATCACACACCGTCACAAAATTACGGACCTCCTTCACCCCTTAAAGAAGGATTGGAATATGGTTAGAGAGGGGTTTGTGTGGTGTAGTGAAGCTAATTAAATAAAAGAAATACGAAAACCTTTATTGTAATAGGATTTTAAATGCAACGAAGATAAGAATATAAAACAAATTAGTTTCCTTTATAAAAAAATTGCCACTAACAAGTGTAGGCGGTTTCATACACAACCAACTGGTAGGGTTTGCTATAAGTATTCCAACACCAATAATAGTTTAGGAAAGAGAAAGTGGAAATAGCGTACGCAGGGGGGGGGGGCAAGGAAACCATTTTAAGGGTGGTGGCGCCTTTTAGGAGAATAATTAAATAACATTTTAAACACGTTCCTCAAAACCAAAAACAAAAAATCAACAACAACAGCAAACACAAACTGAAACTATGAATCAAAGAGTCCGAAACTGTTATGCTATATACTCTAAATATAACATTTGTAACAATTCATCGCAAGTATATGTAAAGCCTACTTCCAGTATATGGCGCCTTTTTCTCGACTCGCCGCTCCCCCTAACCCGAAGACCTGTATACGCTTCTGGAAAGTGGAATCATTGAGAACGTTTTAGTACTAATTTGTATTTACAGTTAACTATATGGAAGTGCATTATATATATATATATATATATATATATATATATATATATATATATATATATATATATATATATATATATATATATATATATATATATATATATATAGTCTTAAATTGCAATTGAACACTAAGTACTGAGCATATTTAATATAAATGTATTAAGTAAGATATTTTGTTTTTTATTATTATTTCAGGATACTCTCACTGCTTTCATATGTCAAAGCTCTCCGTTACATGAAGATAAAATCAAACGTTTAACGAGGCAAATATTGGAAGGCCTTTCTTACCTACATAATTGTAAACCGAAGATCATACACAGGGATATCAAAGGTTTAAAATGTGATTCTTTAACCTGCTAGATTAAAAATAATAAAAGAGCTTTGATGAAATCTGACGTATGGGCCATACCGCTTAGAGATTCCCCTTATTTACTAATTGATTTTCTCCAGAGGTGGTGGGGGGGGGGGGATGCACACTTAACTTTTCAAGAGGTAGGGCGGATACAGTTTAAATTTTATAAAATTTCTGTGTTCGTTATAAATATAAGGCGTGCGGCATCCTCGGGGGATTGGGCGGGGGTCGGGGTGGTTATGTGGTAATATATTTTGCAAGAGTGAACCAAGTTGCGCATGGCTTTAACAGGAATAAAATTGCTACCCTTTTTTTAGGGTCGAACATTTTGCTTGAAGATGAAAAGAACATAAGACTTGCAGACTTTGGGCTGTCTAGGCTGATCACAATGTCAAGTGTTGCGAAAACAGCAGCTGTGGGAACCCACAAGTGGATGGCGCCAGAATTGTTCAGCGTAGACAATCAACCCTATGATGAAAAAGTTGACATATGGTTGGTTCTTTTTTTTAATGGTGACAATAGCAATGCATGTAAACCTGTCCAAAAAAAATTAATAATCTGAATCATTTTTTAAAATAACCTGTCCGCTTACGCTGTTCTCGTCTTAATATATTTTTTTAAAAATATTTGATGTCACCAGGAGTACAGGCTGTACCGTGGTAGAGATGGCAACAACAAAGCCGCCATTCCCAAAACTGGAGAGTCATCAGGTTATTATTTGCCTAAGTCTAAGGAGAATGGAACCAGAATATGACTTACCGGAAAGTTCATCAGAAAAACTCAAATTGTTTTTAAAATCTATTTTTAAATTTGATCCCAGCGAACGACCATCAGCGGATGAGCTTTTAGAGAAAAGTGAATTTCTAAACTAATCAAGACACTGCATATTTCTTGGAGTGCTGTTTTGTTTAAAATATGTGCGTTCTCTATAATGTCTATAAGCACTCGCGATTGGTTGTGCATTATTTCTATCTGTTCCTGACGTGCTAATTTGCATCGATAAAATATTTTATATAGGTGTTTTCATTGTATTAAAATTGAACTCTATTTAAACCTTCAGTTTACCGTTTATTGTGTAACAATAATCAATCGAAAAGGCATGCTATTTTTACATTTTTTTAATAAGCCATTATTCTATTAACCTGATACCTAATAATGCTGTTATTCCTATAGATTAAATTGTTTTACGAAATGTTCATGTACATTGTAACAACATCTGGCAAGTGCGATTAACGTGTACCCATATAATTAGGTTTTTATCTAAATAATAAACTAATCAGTGGCGTAGCTAGAATTTTCCGGTCCCTATGCAAAATTTTAATAGTGGGCCCCTTCGTCAGCCGCTATGTTACGACGTAGCTATAAACATTTGGGCTACGAAGAAAAAGACTGCCACTTACGATGGAGGGTTTTAAAATTATTATATTAACCGGTACATTTTGTATTGTATATGTCCTGATATATATATATATATATATATATATATATATATATATATATATATATATATATATATATATATATATATATATATATATATTTTATATATATATAATGCACCGTAACGTAAAATATATTAGATTTTTTATATCAGTTTTATGTAAAAAAATATATATAAAATGTAGGCCTTTAATATATAAGTAACCAAACAATGCTGTTTTTTTAATTAATAAATTCATTGAGATCCATTATAGCTGCTTCTGTATTTTCGATAATTAAGATAGCCAATTACTGACCCATGAGCAAAGCTATATTTTTTTTCATAACATCATCATAATAAGCTGCAACTAATAAAAGTATATATATATATATATATATATATATATATATATATATATATATATATATATATATATATATATATATATATATATATATATATATATATATATATATATATATATATATGTATATGTATATATATACATATATATATATATATATATATATATATATATTACTTTTGTAAACTAAGAAATACATGTTATTCATCAAATTTAACAATGTTGTTTAATGAAGACAATCATATGAGGTCTTACGGTATTTACCACACCACATGTTAAGGTTAAATATAAATGTCTGAATATTACATGTCAGTATTTAATTAATGTATATTAATTAGAGAACGCCACCACTCGTGATGGGAACTCGAGTTTTCTTAAGTGGGGCAAATTGCTCTTTCCGTTTCTCGTTACTTTGATAAGTATGTTGGTATCGATGAAACAGTAATCGGTATCGTCGGTTCTTGATGCGACTACTTTCTTATTCAAGTATGTATGTAAGGAGACGATTACCCGAGAAAATCTATGTGATATTATCTGATATCATGTTTCAACTTCAGACATTTATTTCTGGTCAACTCAAGCGGCCAACTAATTACGTCATATCTGTTTACAAGTGCATGTTGACCTTCAACCTCCTGTCAACTTATGTGTGTTTTTAACTGGTCGGTATAAAAGTACGAGACTATTTGACGAACAAACCAGCTATGAGAACGTACTCATCTGAGTTAATGTTATTGCAATAGTTCAAAATGTCTGCTTTGTATTTTATTGCTGTGTTAGCCGTTAACTTATTTCTGTCGTTTGGTAAGTTAAATTTAATTATATTAGGCCTTATATGATAAGTTGAAATTATTATCATTTAAAAACGGAACAGTCGAATGTTAGTCGATAAAAACATTACTTAATTAGCCTTCTTATTAATTAATTACTTTAATGCATTTTTGTAAGACATAGTGCATTTGTCGCATGTTAAAATTATAAAACAGAAATTAGTTTACTTAAGAACTTGTTTTAAATTTTAACATTAAAATAACAATATAAACATAATACATTTAATATGACTCGCCCATAAATACATTATTTTTAAATGATTGGACAATTCAGCTCTATGTACTACGCATCATCATTTGATTGAAAGTGTACAAATCGGTGTGGTTGATTATCCAGAAAATATTAACTTGGTTGTTGCCCTTTAAATGGTGATAGCAAAACAATACGGCTATTCCGCTGATTATATTGTTTTTTATAAAACAATTAGCATAACAGAAACGCGCATGGATGTATTTCATTGATTTTTATTAATTAAGCTTCACAATTATCCGTTATTGTGAAAAATCAAAGGTAATTGTTTTTTGCAAACTGATTTTGCAAAGGTTATAGGATTTCAGATCTTATGCAATACATAAGTATTTATAAAACAGGTTTTAAAATTTGAAAAACACAAAGCGATATGAATTTGACTTCAGTTTATGAAAGGATAGTGCGTTTAGTTTTATTTCACTAAGCTTCACATCCGAAATCTTGAGTGCTGTACACATAAACGTGACGTCCTTTATGGATGACACTCGAAACCAACAGATTGTATTTTTTTTTAAATATTTAAACTGAAGTACAATGATTTTCAACAACATTTAACAAAGAAATGTTTTTATTGTGTTTGAATAATGAAGTAACTTTGTAATTGGGTGGTGGCGAGCTCGACTGCTTAGACTCACCAGAGGAAAGTGGCGAGGACGGTTCCCGGACTGGAGATTTTAAGACATCACATAATCTCTCTGATGTGTACAAAATATTTAATTAATTGTACACATCACATAATCTCTCTGATGTGTACACAATATTTAATTAATTGTACACATCACATAATCTCTCTGATGTGTACAAAATATTTAATTAATTGTACACATCACATAATCTCTCTGATGTGTTCAAAATATTTAATTTATTGAACGCATTAGATATTAAGTATTTAATTTTGTCTTCTGTTTTCTAGGCCTTAAAGTTGATATGACCAGAGAACACTTTTACCATGGGAAAAGTTTATTTTGTGCACAACTCCAGTGTACAGAAAACATAACAGAAGACACTCAGATGTCAGCTCTTGTCAACATGTCAGTCTATAGGATCAATGAGTCTGAAGGGAAGATTTTGTTGGCGTCTATTTCAGGATCTGATTCAAAGGTTCGCGATTATAAAATATCTGGGATATTATCTGAGGGCAAACTTTCCAAACATCACGGAGAACTGGTCTTGTCTTTCTCCAATACTTCAGCCTGTAATTTACACCAGTATAAATGTCAAGTATACTTTACCAATAAGACAGGAGACACTAGAATGCTAGAGAACAGAACTACGTCTTATGAAAGAGAGAAAATCAAGAAATCTGTTTTGTTGATGAATTTGAAAGCTCAAACTTTGAACTACGTGAAAACTGTGGACACAATGGCTGACTTTCTGAAATCGTTTGAAGATCCAGAAAAACTAAAAGATGCAGACGTGTCAATGTCCTTGCAGATGGGTACAGTGACGACACGGCTCGGATTCCATCATCTACAGAGTTAAACAACAGTAACAAACACATCAGCTCTACTAATGCTATAGACGTGCTTGATGCTAAGATAAATAACATCACAGAACACATGCAAACAGTGAATGACAAACTTAGATCAATAGACGTGGTTGATGCTAAGATAAATAACATCACAGAAGAAATGCAAACAGTGAATGACAGACTTAGAGCAATAGACGTGGTTGATGCTAAGATAAATAACATCACAGAAGAAATGCAAACAGTGAATGACAGACTTAGAGCAATAGACGTAAAGCTCAACGAGTCCATCACAAGCAACAACCACACAAACCGCATGATAGAAGCTTTAAACACAACTGTACAAGAGATGAAAAACAACTACAACATGAATTATGTATTGTTATGGACGACACTTCAGGTAATTGTTTTATTTCGTCATAAATATTAAGTGAATTAGCGTTGTTAAGTGTGTAAAGTTAAATTAAATCAACCTATATAAATTGTACAAATTGTTTATAATAATTAAATACAACTATATGTGCGTATACTAAAGACTTAGAAAATAAATCAATATGCTTCTACAAAACTAACCCACATTTTAAAGCAGTCTTTGGAGATAAGATCATTCGTTTCTAGTCATGTGTTAAAACAAACATCTTTCTATTTATAAACAGTGTAAAAAGAACGACAAAACTGATGTACCAGAACGGAAGACCGTCAGACTTGGCCTAGACAAATTGGCTTTGTGCGACACAAAAACTGACGGTGGAGGTTGGATCATTTTTCAGGTTGGTAAATTTTTGACGTTAAAATATTTTTAAAAAATTTGATCTTGTATAGATTATATCTGTCCTTTGTGTTAAAATAGCTATCAATATCTTGCAAAATGTCCTATTTCAGAGACGTGTTTTGGGTGACGTGAATTTTACGAGAGATTGGAACGCCTATAAACATGGATTTGGTTCAATGATTGGAGATTTCTGGCTTGGGAATGACTGGATATCTAACCTGACTTCAATGGTGAGTTTAGAAAAACGTAATATGTACATACAGGCTAAAGCCTTATTTAAAAATTAAACATGTCACACGTATTCTACATTACAGGGATACAATGAACTGAGAATCGACATGACTCAAAAAGGTAAAAAGTACTACGCCCATTTTGGTTATTTCAAGGTAGAAAATGAAGCAGTGTCGTATAAAATAAACGTGACGTCATTTAGTGGAAACGTTATAGACAGACTAAGCTATCATCATGGTATGAAGTTTTCTACCATCGACAGGGACAATGATTTATACAACGGAGATTGTGCTGGAGTTTGTAAAGGTGGTTGGTGGTATAAAGAATGTAACTATGTAGGTTTAAATGGTGTCTGGGGTACAAATGACACTGAAACAGGACTATACTGGTATCAGCTATCAAGTGATGGTTCTATTGCAGACTCAGTTGAGATGAAAGTACGTCAAGTGTAAACAAAGTATCTGAAGATGTTTTAAATAAAGCTATAGCTTTAAGTTGGTGTAATAGACCTATTTTTATTACACAAATCTATTCATTCAACTGTTCTTCTTAAAGTGTGAAGGTTCTCTATGTTCTGTACCTGAAGATTTCAAAGTAACCTAATTATCACGGCAACGTACTTGTTGTTTAGTATGCAGGGGGTTTGGGTGAGACAACAAGACGACCAAGACGACGGGAATTGGGTATATACATACCTACCACATTGCACTTTATCATTCCATGCTAATTATATAATTACTTTTTTCCAACACTAAAACAAACTAATAAAAAGTCTTTTTTCTTATTGTTTTCTTTTCGCTTCAGACATGTAATTTACAGCGTCAGTTTGCCTAGTATTTTTGCCTTAGTATTACAGTTTTCATCGTCGGCTTGTGAGGACTGATACAGATTTGCAATAGTAATAATCTTTTCTTACTTTTAGCCTACATTCATTCATTTAAGATGGTATACTTAAACATAGTTCTAATACAAAACGTCCAATTATTACAATTTAAAAAGAACAACAACTACTGATAATGCAAATGTGCAATTAAATGATGATTCTATGGATTTTTTTTTCCATCGGCGTGGTGGGCTGAGGGGGATTTTTGGCTTGAAATAAATTTGGGATTACAGAAAATTAAAATGATGCACATTTTAAGCAACCAGAGTGTTATGTTGATTACGATGAGATATATCAAATCAAACACTCTTCCCTTTCAAACATCTATATCTATATCAGTCCTCCCACTTTTTTTTACAAAAGAAAACTATTAGACCTACAGATGCCAAGTTTGGTAACAGTATAGCTGAGATGTTCTATTATATGGAAAATGTGGTGTCATAAATATGGGTTACGAGTAAAGATTTTTAGAAAAAATAAAAACTTGAACTTGATAGGGTTACATTTTTTTTAACAACAAACACATTTTTTTAGTACTACGCCCATTACGATTATTTCAAGGTAGACAACGAAGCAGCGTCGTATAAAATATACATGTCGTCATTCAGTGGAAACGTTAAAGACCAACTAAGCTATCATCATGGTATGAAGTTTTCTACCATCGACAGGGACAATGATATATACAGCGGAGATTGTGCTGGAGTTTGTAAAGGTGGTTGGTGGTATAACAGCTGTATACTTGTAGATTTAAATGGTGTCTGGGGTACAACAGACATTAATACAGGAATACAGGATCTATCAAGTGATGGACAAATTGTGGACTCTGTTGAGATGAAATAACGTCAAGTGTAAACAAAATATCTGAAGATGTTTTAAATAAAGCTATAGCTTTAAGTTGGTGTAGCAGAACTATTTTTATTAGACACATCTATTCACTCCACTATTCTTCTTAAAGTGTGAAGGTTCTATATGTTCTGTAACTGAAGATTTCAATGTAGCCTAATTATCAAGGCAACTTACTTGCATTTTATACAAACTCATTATCATTCGACTGGTTGCATTTGTTTCATAATGTAAACAATGTAAAAAATTTCTATTTTTTAAAATTAATTGTTTTTAAGTATAAAGTTTTTTAATGATCATTTTTATAACTATACAAAACAGCATCTGAATTATTGACGGTTACAGTTGAGAAAATATACACTAGTACAGTCAAATAGTCTATTGTCTATTATTTCCATAATGAAAAACGTTATTCAGCTGTGCATTAATGGGTGCATTTTTGTTGCATAAAGTATTGCTTCACCTTTTTAAAATCCCTATTACCTAATTGCTTTATTAGAAGCTCATCCATAAACGTAACACTTCTGTATGGAGGGGTTTGGGTGAGGCAACATGCATTAGAGTAGACGACGGGAAGGGGTTGAGAACAGAGTTTCTTCCAGGCATCATCTTTTTTACCGCCCCCCCCCCCCCCCGATCGAAATGAAATTTATATAATTTATATAGAAAATATATACTTTTAGCAGTGTCCGCCCCCCCCCCCTCCCGAAGAAAGTCTACCCCCCCCCCCCCCCACCCCCCGAAAATTTCAAGTGCCCCCCCCCCCCCCCCCCGGAGAAAAAATCTGGAAGAAATACTGGTTGAGAAGGTTTAAAGACACACATGCAAGATTTCCCAAACACAGGTATATACATTGGCTTCAACGGATGTTTTGAATAACTTTAATGATGGCGAAATTATAAACAAGGTAGCCTATACCGTTATTGAATAAATTGAATGGAATTGATTTTGTTCTATACATCGATTCTTTAAATCAGGGGTCTCCAAACTACGGCCCGCGGGCCGGATGCGGCCCGCGAGGTCCTTTCATCCGGCCCGCGGCGATCTTTTTGTCCATGGAATAAATGTTTGTTAGAGATGGCTGAGGACTTTGCACAGAAAATTCAAACAATTTGAAAATGTAGCTTTGGTTGCAAATACCATTGCCCGCCGTGTTGCAGACATTGGTGAAAACATCGTGACTCAAATAGCGGAAAATGCAAGCAAGTTCAGCCATTTTTCAATCTGCAATGGATGAGTCGCTGGAATCTGCTCCACCTCTCAACTGCTTGTGTTCATGAGGTGAGGATGAAGACATAAATATAACACAAGAGCTGGCTTCCATACATAGAATGTATGGCACTGTTACCGGAGAGGATATCTGACCATAGATAGTTTAGAGACATGTTGAAAAATGCAAGCACATAATCGCAAGATTAACCATATTTCACAGCAGTATCACGTTCAATGGCTGCGCCATCACTTCAGTAGGCGCGCAATGGTTTTTAGTCATGTAACTCTATTGTAAATAAAACATGTAAAGTACTGAAAAAAAAATTCATAAAAAAAACGTTTTAATTACAAGCTTTTATGTAATAATGCACTAAAAAGTAGAAAATAAATTATAGACTACTATTTAAATTACTATAAAGAAAAGCGTGGGTCTCTTCTCAAATATTAGTAAAGGTATCCAATAGGTACTAAAGTGCTAAAGTGACCCACGCTTTTCTTTATAGTTATTTAAATAGTAGTCTATAATTTATTTTCTACTTTTTAGTGCATTATTACATAAAAGCTTGTTATTAAAACGTTTTTTTTAATGAATTTTTTTACCCCCTCCGCTTGTAGGCGTAGGCCTACTGTCATAAAAATTAACTAGGGCAACATGTATATTTATTTTTTGTTAAGCGCGACAACTCTTTTATACTGTCGACAGCATCATCCAAGCTTGGTTACTTCCCCTAAAGAGAGGATTATAATATCTGAATATGTGACTATGTGATGAGGGTATGTCATGCCACCCCCCCCCCCCTCCCTACACGGACAATATAGAACACAATATTAAAATCAAATATGAAATAAATAATTTAATCACCGTCCACCCACACTAAGGTAAATGGATGGGGTGAGTGGTGTGTGTGGAGGAGGGAGGGGGGGGGGGGTGACTATGAAGTAAAAACAATCGGTAAAATAAGCTTCCTCGTTAGAGGCATCTTATTTATTTAATAAAATAACATCAAGTTTCAAAGACTAGTTCTCTTTTTTCAATATTGTTTGAACGTATGGGAAAAAATTCTACCTTCCTTTTAAAACATATTAAAGAAATAATACATAAATTGAAACGCGCTATAAGTTATGTGATGTTGTATTACATTTTTAAAACAAGTTACGAGAAAGATTTCAGAATTATACTCTATGTACTTCACAATGTCGATGGATGCTTTAATGATAAAGAACATAGTTTTAAAAAGTTCTAAGCTTGTTACCAAATATATACTGATATATGTGTATGTTGTCTGGTGACTACAGTTAGATTGGTTGTGTGATGACGGAGTTTTGTGTGTACGTGAAAGTGCTACGTGTAAACAATGTGTAGTGAGCTTGTCTGACATTCGTGTATGTTCGATGGGTGGGTGTAGGACAGTGTCTAGTGCAAGGTTAACAAGTGCTGGTGTGTTTTGACATGTGGGTGCCTGAGCTAGTGTTCAGGGGACGAACAATGAGAGATGGGAAAAGGGAAACAACTGGTGACACGGACTATGGAGGGAGGGGGGTGTGAAGGAGAATAGATTAAACTTAACACGCATGTCAAAACCTATGACATGGTGTGTTCAACAGCTATTTTACTTTTTATTTTTGATATGGGAAATTTCTTAACGCGTGTTGGCTATTGAAAAGACTTCCCAAGATAAACTAGCTCAACTGTATCGCTTTGCTGTTTTTGGTAGACATATTAAATTGTGTAAGTTGACTGGATTCTGTTGTTCATTCTGTGTGTGTGTAGATTCTGTGTGGGGAGCATGATTTGTTCGTGGGATCAGCAAGGACTGTTTATTTCTGGACATTGCTTCTATGTAATTAATAGGACCCATCACCAAAAAAACCAACAACAGAGGAAACACCAACAAGGCTCCATCAATAAAAGGCCCGATCAACGAGAGGAACAATAAGCTAGAGGACCCATCAGCTAGTGTACCCATCAGCTAGAGGCTCCATCAGCTAGATCAACAAGATGATCAAACACAATGAAAATCAGTAAGTGCGTAGCGGGCTTGTATATGTATACAGTAAACAAAAACAAAATATTATAAACAAACTACCACAAACCAACGAACATAAGTTACCACCATTAACTGACAACAGACCAACGAACAACAACTAACCCATTAACAGACAACCAACCAAACATAGACCACAAAATCACTAACTTTCAAATGACAAACAATTAGGACGTCATTATACCTCCCAGTCTACAAGTAGGACATCATTACACATTAAGCATGTAAGTAGGGCGTCATCACACATTCCAGTACATAATTAGGACGTCCCAGCATACAATTAAGATGTCATTACACCTCACAGCTTACCATTCGAACGTCATTAAACCCCCAAGCCTACAAGTAGAACGTCATTACACTTCCCAGCTTACAAATAGGACGTCATTACACATTTAGTATATAAGAAGGACGTCATTACAAATCCCAGCACACATGTAGGACGTCATTACATATTCAAGCATACAATTAG